TATTTTGACACTGGTAGTCTTGCTGTAAAACCAAGATGTGGGAGACCGAAGAAGCTGACGCAGAGAGAAGAAAGAAAAATTCTTTTACGAATTAAACAAAATCCTAAACTTTCTGCTGCAAGCATTGCAAAAGACATAACTAGCAACAAGGAAATTTCTCCTGAAACTGTACGAAAAGTGCTGCGAAAGTCCGATTATCATGGACGCAAACCTAGGTCTAAGCCATACATTTCTGAGACAAATGGAAAGAAAAGAATTGCTTTTGCCAAAACAAATTTAACTCTTCGCAGGACTTCTGGAACAATGTAAGTTGGTCATATGAAAGTAAGTTTACAATATTTAAAGTTAATGGCCACCCTATTGTATGGAGAAAACCAGGAACAGAACTGAATCTGGGAAATTTAAATCCAACTGTCAAACATGGAGTTGGCGGTGTGATGGTATGGGGGTGTATGTCGTCGAAAGGAGTTGGAAATTTTCACATTATTGATAAATTCATGGATAAGTATGTTTATCTGGATATTCTGAAGAAAAATCTACGAGACAGTGCCCGAAATTTAAACCTTTCTAATACCTTTATTTCCCAACAAGACAACGACCCGAAACATACAGCTAAAATTGTGAAGGAATATCCTCCTCTATCACACTCCAAGACAGTTGCGTACTCCTCCACAGTCACCAGACCTCAATCCAATCGAACATTTGTGGGCAAAATTGAAGAAAAAAGAAAACGAAAAATTCGAAAACACAATATTACGTCGCGAAAAATAAGCTAATAGTAAATTGCAGGAAGAATGGGCGAAATTTATGTCGGATGACACTGAAAAAACTAGTTCAGTCAATGCCCAGACGTCTGCAAGCTGTTTTGAAGAATAAAATGAAATCCTACAAAGTATTGAAGTAATGTAAAAAACTTATATTTTGCTTTTTTTTTTTTTTTTTTTTGAAAGTGTACGCAGACTTATTGGAGGTAATTTCTGAGTTTTTTTGACAAAATATATTTTTGAAAAAATGTAAAAAGTATTGCACTGATATTATTTACTTTTTATTTAAGCTTACAATTTTAGCTAATAGAAGAAAACAAATGCAATGATTAAAATACATTTTTATATGCTTTAAGTGTTTTTTTAATTCAAAATTTAGTCTGTACTCAGACTTTTGTGACTAACTGTAAGTAAATTTCCTACTGTCTTATTTCATTGTATTGTTTTAGTATTTTGAAGTGAATTTTATTAAACTGAGTGAAAATTTAATTTAATTAATTTCAGACTGTATAAATTCCCATTTTTTAGCAATTGTCTGCAGATTTCCAAGTATAAGTTTTCTTTTTGGTAGTTAAGCCATTTTTTTGCATTTTTTACAAATATTAATTATAGCAAAACTCTAGGTGACTATTAATATTGATTTATTTTTGATTTGGCAAATTGGTTATGTCGAAGTGGCGTTTTTAATTCTCAGAGGTACAAATAATTTAAAATAATTTCTGTAGCTCAGCTTATTAAAAGCCAACTGATTATGCCAGAAAAGGGGGGTAATGATCGCTGTTAGATTCTTCCAGTGCTTGAAAATATTTGAATCATAGATAATACAGTTTTTTCCTTAGTATCCCAAAGAGGCGTTAGCCCAGATGGACTAACGCCTCGAAACGACATTTTGCATCGAAATCACTTTTTAGATTGTTGCCACCAAATAATATCACCCTGTATTATATTTAACGACATTAAATAATGAAGAATCTCCACGAATGTATATATGTTTCTCGTATTGTGAAAAAACAACAGTACCTAGAGCCATCAAATTTTGGACAACTTTAGTCCTCCACCCGAATATGAGCACCCTGAAGTCCGAATTTTGAAATTTTTTTTCTAATTACATATTTTGTAAAACTTTAACACATTTTTAGTTAAAAAAACTTACGGATTTCAAAGTTAGCACTGGCAACATTATACGGAATGAAACATTTTTAACTCCAGCTCGTGAGATTTCCTATTGGAAATTCTGAAGATATGCTGCTTTTAAATATTTTTAATTCCAAAGGGGCGCTAACTCACATGATCTCGAAACGTGTATGTGGAGTAAATGGGAAATAAATGCCCCTTTAGGCTTAATATAAAATCTGAAAGCTTTACGATGTTTTTCTTTTTGATATAGTTACATCACTTTTATTACGAATTACTAATGCGTTTGTTATGATTGTGATGGCAAAAGAAGGTTTCTTTTACCTTCCATATTGCTAGGATAAGCTTAAAATTTATCAGGAACTTCATCTGAGTGCGTCATATAACTAATTTTCTGGAGTTAGTTGTATTTAATTTCCTTTACATCTTGTTTTTCCAACTCAGTGCAGATTAATCTAATAGATTTCACTTATATTTACGTAATTTAAATAATTATTTGATATCAGTCTTGGCAGAAACCGCGTAGTAATACTGTTCAAGAGTCACAAGTCCTAGTTACATTATTTTTTATTTGTTAATAGTATATATATGTGTAGTTGTTAGATTTTTAAATAATTTCAATAATTAAAAAATTCTCGATGTAACAGAAATACGTTTGGAAACTGTTACACTACTGGATAAGTTCATGAATGCCCAAATCATTGATCATCTACGAGTCTGCATATTGCAAAACTAGGTAATTAAATTTCAGTCTAATTAAACTGCAAATGTATGTGTTGCAGCGTGGTAAGACTAAACTAATAATATTATTTTTGCATTCTGGTGCCCAGTAATATATTAGATAAAAAAATTATGCTACTATGTAATTAATATAAGTAACTAATGAATGATTTATTTTTCAGTGAAATGTTCAAAAGAGTGTTCTTTGTCGCAATTTCTCGTTAATTTTGCAATGCCTAAAACATAACAGATGCTATGCACAAACCCATTTTCCATTTTCTCTCAAACTTCTGTAAATCATGTCTTAATTTCAGTTGTAGGATCAGTCTTAATTTCAGTTGTATGTCTAACTTCTAAGTGAGAACTGTAAGAGTAGTAACTGCGCAGGAGAAGGGTTAAAAGTAATCTTTATTTACTCTTTAAAGTTCACAATGCGTCATTTCGACGCTAATACACTCCGCCTCCCTTGGGCAGTAACTGAAATCACAGAACTAAACTCAAAATTCGAAGATGGACAAGTAGTAGAACTAAGCTACAGAGCTCATATAATTCCTGTTTCTTAAACCCGCGTCGAAACTAGGGGCAGCAAGTAAATGCAGTTATGCCACGTAAACCAGTAATAACTCCGGGAGTACAAGATCACGAAACGAAGGTGACGGCAATAGCCTAACTCTCCCTCACTTTCCTACTGAACCTCGGTTTTTAAACTTTTTCTTCACAAGGTAGAATTTGCCTTCCTTCACGCGCGCTACCAAATATTATAGCATTGACAATTAGGAGAATAAAGGCTTAAAGGGATACTTAAAATTGAAACTTAACTTGTTAATTAAAAATAAATATAAATCCCTACACAATATTGACGGAATCAGAACACTGTCTTCGTAGCACCCAAATGTAATTAGGAAGAATATTTGAGGTTGAGAGCTGTTGGCCGTTTAGAACGCAGAAAGATTATTTTGGAACTTATAAGAGAAAGAGAATTTTTTCAAGACAGACAATTTCTGCTCCTTCGAAACAAATTTTAAATATCCTGAGACTATTGCTAAGAAGCTACTGAGGCATATCAAGATAAGTCTTACAGCTAAGACTCTCTTTAAAGGTACTTGTAGGTTTCACATTCTTTTTTTTTTTTTTTTTATGGATAAATTTGGAGTCTGCGTCTGTTAACTTTAGAATAGGTATTTCCAGGCCTTCCTAAACTATGCCTCGTAACCATGGTAACGATTGCAGCGGAACAATGGTAGATTCTTCTAATTTGCTAAAAAATCCCCTAAATCTTTCGGTACAGTGACATCCATACACGTGACGCTTGTAAATAAGTAGACAACCGCTACGACAGACCTTAAAGTGCTTATTTTAAAGTAACAAGCTAGAGCAAGCTTTCTTGAAATGGAAGACATTTGAGCGAATTAACGGGCCAGAACAATATTTTAATTTGTATTCCTTACAAAATTTACCGGACAACCTCTCGCTAAAACCTAATGCATGATAAAATCCTCATGCCTTTAAGATTATATCGATGAAGGAATCTAAATTAATTTCCGACTTCTATTTGACCACAGTATGGAATCATGTTTTGGTGTGTATCTATAAGTTAGCGGAGATAATATTCCTTATTATTATCAAAATTTTGAGTCTTTTCTAATGTATTAACGTTTTCAAAACTTTTGTTATTTTTACAACATATTTTATTTATTTCATAATATAGTTTCGTGCCCTACTGTCATTTTTAAATTAAATTTATACATTACACTTAGAATGCATGTTCTTCGCATGAGAAAAACGAACGCTATGTTTAAAAAGCGGGTTCAGAAGATCTAGGGAAATGGAAAAACAAAGCTTCTTTTTATAAAGTGTTTTTCTTCTCTTCTCAAAGAAGAACTTGTGGTTGACCGCCTTCGGAATGAACAGAGTTTTATTCAAAATCTGAGCCAAACTAAGGCTGTCTCTTGCATAACTTCAATATCTTTCATTTATTGCAATAAGGTATTAAAATTATATTAGTCAGATATGTTACAAAAATAAAGATTTCGACTTTTAATAAATGCGCTTATTGTTTTTAAATCTCTCAGCTGTTAACTATAGATTCAAGAAATAAATATAAAAACCTTATGTTTTACCGAAGAGCAATATGCCGAGAAAGGTGTAACTGCGAGGCGCGTGAAAGTTAAATTGAATATTTCACGTTTCGCGAAATGGCAATACTTGCCAAGGCGACTAAATGTTATATCCATGGTAGCGTAATGTAATTTTCCCAAAACTATGTAAAATTTGCACTCTTCCAAAAGAAGGGGAATTCGGTGTAGTCTGCATTAAATATTAATGGAGTACAAGACGCCTCATTTTCCAAGGTATGCATATCTATAAACGAAACAATCTTACCGTATGATCTATAAACAAACTAAATAAGCTTATGTAACGCTTGCATCGTAACTTCTTCGCTTCTAGCATATCATATACGATACGCAAGTAGACCACAGCATCAAATAAAAGTAAAATGCCATTGGCAACCCATTGAATCATATTTGGTAATGCTGAAACGGAACGTTTATTCGAAAATTTAAAAGCAAATAAATAGTTGTAAAATACCTTGAAGCCTAATTTAGTCGAATGACTTGAATGCTAGCCTTGTAATTATGAGTATTATTTATCTTTTATTCTACCAAAATGGAACACTCGCTATTTACGCTTTAAATTTTTGTGCTTAAGAGTAGTAATAAACTACAATAAGCATTAATGTTTGAGCTTTCAAGTTATGAAAATAATTTAAATGTATAAATATGTTCATTAATATTAATGCTATTTTTTACCTTATTTCTAATTTTTATTTCGATTGTAAATATGAAGATTTTCTCTTTATATTACAAATAAAATACTATCTAAATAATACATGTAAAAATCCAGATATTTTGATAAACAGTAGATTTTATAGAAGCTATTTTTCGATGTTAAGCTTAACTGCAAAACACGTTTAGGTTCAACTCTTCAAGGTCATTTAGGTTCAATTCTCGAAGGAGAAATATCTTTCGCTGAGACCGAAGAGGTTAAAATGATACGTTTAAATAAAGCTTATAAATTCGCCTAATTGATATTTTTCGATTCATTCTTCATTTGAAAGACAAAGGAAAGTCGGTTTTGTAACCTGTGAATTTTGAAAACGTTATAAACATTATGAAGTTATTATTTTCGATGCTGTAATCTGAAAGAGTGAATATAATGAGCGAAAGAAAACAATCAAATTTGAAAAATACACTAAAACTGGTTAATTATGTTAGAAATTCAGATCTGAAATAAATTTCATTCAAAATATTATTTTACGAATATATCCGCCGGTATACAGATTGAAATTCTGTGGTAATTAATTCGATCGTTACAGACAAAATCTGTAAAACATCCCTACGACATCAAGTTAAAAAACCTAAACTTTTTAACTTTTTTGAAAGATCTTGCTTGGAGATGCAAGCGAACCTCCCCCCCCCTTGAAGAATTTCTGCGTTCCGTAGCTCTGGGCCTTTCCATCTTAGCACAGCACTGGACACCTACACACAGACAGAGAAACTCTATTTTTATACATATCCTACTAAATCTTTTCATTTCGTTTTATTCAAGAGTTTTTAAGAAACATTCGAGCATGTACACAGGAATGAATAGATTTTATTTTTATTTCCTTTTGTGAAGTAAAGGAAGTATTGCAATCGCGAAAGATTTCGGGTATCATATTTCAACGGAGATATCCATTTTGACCGCTCGCGAATCTAACTGGACGATTTCTTTTTTGCATGATGTCTGCATGTACGTACAGAATAAAGGACTCTTTTTTTCCAAAACGGATTGTAAAATGAATTTAAAATGGATTCAAAAGAGATTTTTTTTGTGTTGCTTGTACTTACATATGTTTGTATCTCGCATAACTCAAAAACAATTAGCTGTAGAACGTTGAAATTTTGCGTATGGGACTACTATACCATCTAATTATCTTCCCTTTTTATTGTAATTGGCAGTTCTAAACGTATATATATATATAATGAATTCAGCCTACTAGACTGCGATGAAATTCAAAAAGAATGCAGTGTTATAAGTATTCAGACGAATTTTCAATCCTTCGACAATGACTGAATAAAGGTTAAGTATTCATGCAGAAAGTCGGCACAAAGTACACGTTTTCAGCAATGTTTTCCCTCGGCAAATGGTCATGAGCTCAAAGGATGGAAGCAAAATATGAAGTACATACTTAAAATTATTTTGTCTTGTAGCTGCTACAGGATTTTGAAAGAAATTAGAAGCTTTTCGTAGGACATTAGACAAGCTGAAACGACGCCTGGGTACATACCTGTGAGAGTTCCAAGTCCTGTTTCACAGCAACTCAAAGTGACCAACTGACATATGCACTCGGTAGCTGCTATCTCTTTTGCTTCGACGACACCGTAGCAGTTTTCATCGGAAGGAGCTAGTAGAAGGCAACCTCGCATGGAATAGTCACATTGAGGTTTTTTCCCTGCCTAAGGAAGTAAACAAAATATGAAATAAGTTAACAGTAAAAAATGGGAGCTGTTGCACGCGTTTTACCCCCTTCTCCCCCAAAAAATCAATATTTGCTTTTCGCAGTTAGATACAGTTACTTCAGTTATATGAACAGTAAAAAATTATAAACTCCAAATAATCATTTTTAAATCCCCTCAATATTTCTAATTAAAGGAAGAAACTTAGCATTAAAAGGTAAAATTTTTAACTTAAAATGTTTTATTTTCATTTTAAGCATATTACATTCCAATGCAAATACGTCAAAATAAATGAGTAAAAATCAATAGTGCTATCATGTGCCACTCTGAATTAAAAAGTGCTACTCTGGTAAAACTCGTAGCCTAAGAAATATAACTGAAATTAAATGAAATCATTTAATTAGAAAAATAGTAATAACAAGTGATTAAATAATTAATAATTTAATTACGAGTATATTTCTTTATTGGCGTTTGAATTTTTTTGCTGTAAATGCTGTTTGAAGTTGATGAGAATATCTCAAAACATTTTTATGTAAGTCAGAATTCTAAAAATATGATGTAGTGCTCTAGCAAACTAACATTCATCAGGCTTTAATTTGAAATTGTATTATGCATTTATTGCACATTATTTGTAAGTAATACACATGAATGGAGTACGCTGACATATGTTACTTATGTTACTCTTGACTCTTCTTATTATTTATAACTAATTTAATATACTGTTAATTTATAGTAAAGTCCGAAATCCAGATGACAATATCGAATTTTCGGACCACCAGTCAATAATAACAATAAATAAATAGAAAAAAATATCTGAAAGCTTTCAGATTTTATATTACACTCAAAGAGGTGTTTTTTTTTTAAAGTTTTGTGTGTTACTATTATTTATTAAATATCATGTTCTTCGCACTTAAACTATAAAATTCAATTCAACAGCAATATCACAAAATAATTTTAAAAGAGCATATCTTTAGAATTTCCGATATACAGTCTCGAGCATTGGAGATTAAAAAAAAAATGTTTCTTTTTCCCGTTTACTCTTGCCATTGCTCGCTTAATCAACAACTCGTTAAGGTTTTACAAAATATGAAAGATATTAAAACGAATTCCTAATTCGGGCTTCCAGATGCCCATATTCAAGTGGAGGACTACATTATTCAAAATTTGATGTCTCTAGGTACCGCTGTTTTTTCACAGTGCGAGAAACATACATACATGCAAATTCTTCATTGTTTAATTTCTTTAAATATAATGCAGAGCTCTAATAGTTGGTGGAACAATTTGAAAAGCGAAACGCCGTTTATAGTGAACCAACGCAAAATGCCAAAATGAAATTAATATTCCTTCTGGCAAAGTGCCCGTTTGTGCTAATAAAATAATTTAAAAGAATCCTCCCTTTACAGTCTAAAAATGCAGAATAAAATAATACAAAGGAAACAACCCTAAATGCGGTTTTTTTCTGGATTAATTGAGATTCTTGCATGCCAATTTAAAATGCCTGCTGGCAAGGAGTAGTCCCATGCCTAATAATACCTTGATTAATGTTGTATTGATATTAACCAGAATTACACTTTCGGTCTTTGGTTGTGGGGGGGGGCGCAAAGCCAGCGCTAAGCAATTTGCCGCCTGGTGCAATCTCTGAGTGTCCGAAATTCTGCTGACTTTCTGCTTCTGACTGGAATTCTGCACTTTGAATTCTAAAATTTTTGCCGCTTGTAAGTTCTGACATTCTTTGCGGTAGCATCGAATGCTCTTGCTCTCACGTCGGCCCTGTGGCGGCTTAATATTTTTTTATCGGACCAAAACAATTAGTGAAGCCCTATTGAACCACGTCTGCTTATCGTATTACTAGATTTAAATTCATGATCTAAAAACCTGAAGTTGCTGAAATACGGAACTGCCATTCATATCTCAGACTGTACTGTACCTAATTTGGAATCATGTAAAAAATATCTGAGTTCCTGGCTGTAATAATAAAAATAATGAAATCGTTTTGGATGAAAATACATTATTTTTAGCAATAATTTCTGGACTATAAGAATATATAACTTATCTCTTACATTTGACATTATAAGATGCAATTTTTGTGCGAGAATATTATCATCGAAGAGTAGCTGGCAAGTGACCTCATTGGTAGCCCATAACTCCCATTGCTTTTACTTGTGGAACCTTGCTTTACACCATAAAAACTACTAATCTGCAACCCATGTAATTAGAAATGTAAATGCAATCCATGTAATAGAAAGATTGTCGTAAAACTGATCTTACAACTATTTCGAAAGTGTGTTTTTGGTGTGGCTGCATCGAACGTGTCTATGTGTTGTAAACAAAAGAAACCAATTTGATGAAATTGGACCAAGTGCCTTATGATATTATAATTATGGTATACCCCGTATAAATATGTTTCACATTTATCAGCTAAATCAGATGATAAAATTCTAACTTTGCATCTTTGTCTTCATGAATGTTTTGCTGAAACCGTTTCACTTAACACATATATATTTTTGCTACCCACCACTAATTTAATTATTCCATGAAGTTTCTCTTTTCTGCTACCCACGCTCACCTCAGTATCCTGGGGACAAGCATGGGTGGCCACGTGAAGCACATCAATGTTTTTTAATTCCGAGAGCAATAATTTTTTTGTTGCTTCTTCTTTTAGAGCCAAACGGCATTGCTCCGATCCGAATATTGTTTGGACGTTCTTTGCTTCATCACCAGAATAACGTAAATCTGGAACATCTAAAACCATAACTGGATCTCCCATGGCCAGCAACTAAAAGAAAGAGAATCATTAGTATTTTTATTCCTTCATAGTTAACTAATCAATATATAAATAATAGTCCAGCGCTTAATTCTTACAAGTCTTAATATAAGTGGAAAATAGTGCGTAATGATAATTACAGATTTTAAGATTAGGAAATGATACTATTTTTAATTTTTATCGATCTTATTACAATTTGTATTATAATCTTAGTTTCATTAATTATGATCTTGTAAGATTTATTGAATATGTTTAACCCGTTATTTTATATTTCGAACCTTTACTGTCACTTCTCTCTTTTCGTTTTTCCGCCAGAATGCAAATTAGGCTGCATGCATCTAAGTGAAGGTTTGAAATTGTTAAGTCAGAGTGTGTTTTGCCGCTTGAAGGTCACGTTACTAATATTGTTTAGGTAAGAGTTCCTATCTTTGGCATTATTGTTACTTGCCCATAGTTTAAATTCACAGCCAACTTCGTATAAATCACTCTGTGTAGCCTTTGGTTATTAGATATTTAAATTTAGTCTTACATTTCAGAATTTCTACGTTGAATTTCTCGCCCGCGGACTTTGAAAGCACCAGGAGTGCCTTTTGTTCATTTTGTTGAGTTTATAATAAAAGGATGTTTTAAACCTTTGAAAATTTCTGTACTTACTAGTTAGCTGGTATTCTGTAAGAAGTGATTTATTGTTTATATAATCGTGCAAATTATCGTCTTGTTTCTTCTCTTCAACTTTTGAACAGCATTACCAGCTGCGACAGATTAGTTATCGAAACTCTAGTAACTGTTAGTTCACTTAGAAATAGAGGAATTGATATCCGCTTTGCTTGCGTGCTTGCTCATCATGGTTTCTATGGAAATGAAAGAGCTGATTTCTTTGTTAAAGATGCCTTAAATTTACCCATTGATATCAACATTAGCATTCCAAAGAGTCCTTTCATTATAAGAAGCTTTTAGCTATGTGGAATGAGGAATGATTTCATCTTGCAATGCTGAGGTCACCAAAACGTTCTTCCCTTCTATTTACCATAGACTGCATTCCGAGTTTTTCCTCTCTATAAATTTTAAAGTGTCTCAGTTTTTATCTGGACACGGTAAATTTGCAAGTTACCTTTTTCGTTTTAATGTAAGATCAAATAATTTATGTGAATGTTCAAAAAGAAAGCCTCAGGATGTGGAACATTTGATTTTATCATGCCCTACATTTGATGGCCGTAGATTATGCTTACAGAACGATTTGAAAATATTCGGAGTGACTTGGCCAGTGAACTTATCTGTTTTCATGAATTCCAGACTGCTGTTCTCTGCTTTTGTTCGTTTTATTTATGCATTTAACTTTTAATGTTTTAGTTAACTTACTTCTGTAAGCCCCGTGTTGTACAAATGTGGTGCATGGGGAGTCTGTATGTTTTCAAAGAAAAAAAAATGGGAGTCAGAATGATTAGCATCAAGAACAGATGTTGCGATCAGGAAAACTGTTGAGTCTCGAAAACCACTTTGTCTAAAAAGATAAAGACTGCCTTAAAATTGGTAAATTTATGAGATTAGTCGGTTTAGCTAATCGGTGGAATAATTTCTGCTATGGCAGCATAATATAATAAACTGCAGCGGGAAAAGAGATGGAAAAGTTTTGATACTAAATATTTGCAACGTCCGATGAATTCCAGATTTTTGTTACTTGGATATTAAAAACTTAAAGTTTAAACTTTTCAATTTCCAGATTTATGTTACGCTATTATTCAGAGGTATTGTCATTCGATATATTTATTAAACGTTTAATTCATCAGTTAAATTAAAGTCGCATGCTATTTAATTAACTCCCAAGTTTAAAAGAAATGTATGCATATTTCATTATGGCTTACTTTATTTTATATTTAATAATATCTTTAACATATGTATTTAATAACAACCCTAATTTATTTAATTAATAATGCATGAGACTGATATTTTCATAAACATTCGCACCATTATTGCCGTGAATAAAATATGTTTGTGTATTACATATATCGGCAAATAACATTCATTTGCCGATATATTTGCCTAATATTTTTCTTAGATCCTTAAAACTCAACAACAAATTGTTTCTTTATACTAAATTCCACAAATATTAAACTACTAATAATATATAAATAAATAAAAACATTTGTTGCAACTGGCGCTAAAGAACATTCAATAGAATTTCTGTGAATTTTAGACTTAATCACATCAAATAGCGTTCTTACTTTAGAAGATAGACTGAAGTGACCAAATGTTAATCTAAAGTAGAATTTAGATTATGCAAAACAAGTTTTCATTGCAATAAATTAAAAAAAAAAGATTAAGTACGTCTTAATGGATAAAACTATTTCTTTCCATTGATAGAGAGGTAAAAGTTGGTGAAAATGTAGGTGGAAGAAAATTAAATATGTGATATTTATCTGTTCAAGTTATCAAGCCTTCATGCAACACAAATACTTTCACATTTAACAATTCATTCACTCTGTACATTTTCAGTTCTTTAGCCTTAAAGAGAAAGCAGCAAATTATTAAATAATGAAATAAAAGTGCATTTCGGTTGGCCTTAAGAACAACTTAAGCAACACAAAAATGCAGTTTCTTCCTTTGGTTTGTTTGAGTCATCTGTTTTCAGCCTACAATTTACACTCATGTCCATAAATTAAGGATAATTCGGAGTCACGCGGAATTCGAACTCTAAAATAAATATATCACCTGTAAAATCACTACAAATCTTCAAGAATCATATGCAAATTTCAGGAAGTAACCAGATGACACCGATGGTACGTCACAATGACGAAAGAGTAAGAGAGTGATATATAAGGAATACAGGCAAAGAAGTAAAATTGTTCGCAGGCGCTTTATATGCATTTCAGTGCAATAACCGAATAGTTATGACACAAAGGACGCATTTGGATGATTTTTTACGTGGTAGAATGATCGGCCGTCTGGAATGTAGGCGTATCCAACTGGAAGTATCAGACGAACTTGGAATTGCCCAGAGTGTCATCTCCAGGCTTTGGCAACGATTCCAAGATGATGGTATTGTGAGTAGACGTTACAGCACAGGTCGCCCCAGAGTTACAACACCGAACGAGGACCGGTATTTGGCAGTTACTGCCAAAAGAAACAGGCGGAGCACAGCCTCAGACCCGTCTCGTCAGCTCTCTTCAGCCACTGGTACGACAATTTCAAAGCAGACCGTGTACAGACGCTTAGGGCAGATTCGTCTATATGCTCGTAGACCTGTCAGATGCGTTCCACTTACTGCAACTCACTATCGCCTGCGGTTAGCGTGGAGTAGAGAGCATGCATTGTGAACACCGCAACAGTGGGCTTGTGTGATGTTTTCCGACGAGTCCAGGTTTAGCTTGCAGTCTGATTCTCGCCGTACTTTCATATGGAGAGCTCCAGGTACCCGTTACCACCAAGAAAACATTATTGAACTACACCGTTACGGTGGTGCAGGAGTGCTCGTTTGGGGTGGAATTATTCTGGGTTCCAGAACTGACCTGCATGTTCAAATTGGAACCATGACAAGCCAAATCTATCGGGACGTCATTCTGGAACAACATGTACGTTTGTTTCGGGGCGCCATGGGCGCACAATTTGTGTTTATAGATGACAACGCCCGTCCTCACCGTGCAAACATCGTAAGCGAATGCCTTCAGTCGGATGATATCACCCGTATGGACTGGCCAGCATTCTCACCGGATTTGAATCCAGTAGAGCACGTGTGGGACATGCTTGGCCGACGAGTTGCAGCCCGTCAACCTCCTCCTACATGTCTACCGGAACTTCGGAGAGCATTGCTTTTTGAGTGGTGTAATATCCCCCAAGATCAGATCGATAATTTGATACTCATCATGCCTAGGCGTTGTACGGACTGTATTGCATCGTCTGGGAGACATACAATGGATTAACAATCATACCAACCATGTAATATTGTTTTTTTGTAAATAGGTCTTTTTTGTAATTTGCTCCAGGGAGAAAAAATCGCTAATTTTTTTGATAATATCAAACATATAGCATATTTTTTTGCTTTTTACCTTTTGTTTAATAAATAAGCTTTACAAATAAGTTAAATTTGGTTGCTTCTAACTCTTCTTTTGCCTGATTTTGCATTATCCTTAATTTATGGACATGAGTGTACTTTAAAGCCACGTTAATTACATTCAGAGGATGGAAAAATACCTCCTTGCAAACAGTGACTATTCAGTGCAGCAGAATAGTAAATATGCGAACTAATTGGCATCACATGTCATCCAAATACCTGAGAAATAAGTTCATTTGCTATCTTATTCTGATGTAAAATACCTATTTATTGTAAGACAAGTGACAAAATATTACCTTTTCATTTATCAAATTTTAAAACAACAAAGATTACCATTTTTTAATTAATATTATTTTTATATTTATTTTCTCTCAAACGAAATTGAAAAAAGCGTTTTCAACAAAATGAAACAATAAAATTACTTTTAATTTACTTAAAATACATTATGAATTAATAATGAGCTTTATTTAACTTGGCCTAAAAAGAAGAAACCACTTTTCGGATAGTTCGGTTCTAGATATCAAAATTCCAGAGAGTCAGAATTATATTAATTTCTAATCATGTATGTTCTAACACGTTGCAAAATGCAAGAAAAAGGAAATGTTGATGCGCCATATCCTAATAAGTAATTATATCTGTCATATTTAACGTACACGGTTGAAATATTTTTCATGGAAAAACTTACACTATGTTGTAAATGTTCTTTTCGTTACGATATGTTTGAATTCTATTGTAATATCAAGAATAAAATGGTGAGGCATAAGGAAAGAGATTCTGACACAGTTCAAAAGATTACCTGAAGTTTCCTTTGTCCTTGACGCTCTTTGAGATACTTATACCTTTGGTTGAGTAGAAAGAGAGCTCTAAGGCTTGGTACATAACTCAAGGAAAAGCGTTCTACAAAATACTGCTTCTTTTCATTTTTTAGACAGCAAAAAGGCACGTTAAATAAAAACTCTGAAAGAAATAAAAATATTTCAAGCAACTTTTCTTTCTTTTCAATCAGATGCGAGCAACATATATACATTTAAACATGCGTTTATATTCAAACACTTTTTTTTTATATTAAGTACGGCCATGGCAAGACAACTATGGCTATATTTATGTTATTAACTATGACGAACTTTCTCATTTTTGTCTTGTTTTCAGTATTAAAGACAAAACATAACAATGAAGTTTACATTACTTTTACGTAGTAAAGCACAAATATCCATCGAAATATATGAAATCATTCCATCTAAGTAAACGCAGAAACCATTTTCTCTCCATCTGTACCTTCTTTTGCTATCTTTTCTTTCTTCATTTTATAAAATAAGGCTTTCGTTAGTTTTGTTTTCGTTCGACTGAGTAAACATTTTACTTAAACTTAGCTTCCGTTTACTTTTAAAGTTCTAGTGAAACGATATCGCTGATCGGCATCAGATTTATTTACGGAATGTAGTGTATAAGCAGTACTGATCACATATTAGCTGCAGTATTCCATAATTAGCTGCGCCTACTCGCTTGCCGCCTATAGCTCATAAATTAGTCAATCCTTTAATTTCGAAAGAAATGTGTTTTAACATAGCTCCAAGAATATGGCTGTGTTCTTCTCATGCCCTTACCAATAGATATGTTTAGGGTGTTTGTACACCGAGAATTTCTAATATTCCGATTATCTTTTAAATTATTTGCATTTCTTATATGTGCCTTCTAAATCTTTTCAGTCAGTTAAAATGTTTATTGAGTGAATTTGAATCTTTATATCCGACTCCACTTCATATCAAAAATCAACTAAATCAACAGTTGCTAGACTACAAAATTTCTTTATTTGGTTTAGTTAATGTTAGTCTACTTATCATGTTTTTTCAAGAATGTCAGATGTTTTCCATTAATCACCTCTTTATTGATTTTTTTTTTTTTTTTTTTTTGTGCGACTAGTCAAAAAATTTAGTTTTAGTCAACAAATTCGGCATTCTTCAACAAATTCGGCATATCAGTATTGTTTGAATTGATTACAGGAGAAAACATTGCGGGCAAAAACGCTGCAGAAAAAAACAACGCAAGAGAAATACATCGTCATACAAAAGATCGTGAGAGAAAAGAAAACAAAGAGAAAACATTGCAGTTCTATAATATTGTAGTTAAAAACATCGTTGGAGAAAATAAAGTGGTTTAAAACTTTACGGTTTTAAAGGAAATATCGGGATAAAAAATAAAGCACCTGCATATTATTGTAGTAGGATGGTAACATCGCAAACATGGGTTTTCAGACTTTATAAATTTTAAATACATGTTCGCATAATAATTTGAAGAGCGAGGAGAAAATATTTTTACCTCTGTACTTACTATTTCTGAATTTATTAATAATTTTTTACTGAAAAAACAAGAAGGAAAATTAAACAGTCAAAAAATGAAACTGAGTAGAAAATCAATACAACATGTAGCAGTTAACAGACTTTGAAACTTATGCAGTTACCTATCTATTAAAGGACATTATTAGTCCAAAGGGGCTTAGTCCCTGAAGGACTATTGTTTTCGTTTTGCGATTTTGCGTCGGACTCATAAACGTCGGTTCACTTTTCAAACTGTTGCCACAAAATGTTAGAGTCCTGCATTATATTTGAAGAAATTAAATAATGAAAAATCTGCATAAATGATTGTCTATTTCTCGCATTGTGATAAAACAATGGTACAGAGAGCCATCGAATTTTGAATGACGAAATCCTACTGCGAATATGGGCATCTGAAATCCCAAATTTGGAATTTGTTTTATTATAGATTTCATATTTTGTAAAACTTTAACGAATTTTTGATTTACAAACTCAATGCTTTAAAAGCGAGAAATGGCAACGTTATATAGAAAAAAATACTTTTATTTTATCTCCAGCTCGCGAGACTGTGTATATCGGAAATTCTAAAGATATGCTTAATTTAACATTATTTTGCGATATTGCTCTTGAACTGAATTTTATGGTTTAAGTGCAAAGAACATGATATTTAATAAATAAAGGTAACACTCAAAACGTTAATAAAACGCCCCTTTGGACGTAATTTAAAATCTGAAACATTTCAGATTTTTTTTTAATTAATCTATTTTCTTAAGTCAGACTATCAGTACTGTCATAAAATAAGGCAAAGAAACAACCTTGTGTTTGCCGCAGATTTCAGTTAAGACTCTATCGATTTCGAGAGAAAACTTTTGAAGTCTGAAAACACATTCTGCGATATTATCGTCATGCGATGTTTGTAGTTTCTTTACTTTTTACCACAATATTTTCTACGACGATGTGTTAACACTGCAAAAATTTTAAGCAACTTTATTTTCAACCACGATGTTTTATAAACCGATGTTATAGAACTGCGAAGTTTTCCCCTTGCTTTCTTTTCTCGTGCGATGTGTCTTATGACGATGCCCCCCCCTGCGTTGTTTTCTCAGGGATTTATTCCACGAAATTATTGCGGAGACCTATAAATTTAACAGAATGGAATTTAGACTGGATTAAAGGCATTAATGTACTGTATATTTAAATATCTCTCGTTAGTTTCCCACCTCTTTCCAAATTTCTTTTAAATATCATCATTTTTAGTTTTATCTGAAATTTTTTCCTATTTCATTGCTTTATTAAATACTCAGAGATGCATTAATTTGGGAAAACATTATCATGCCTCTGAATTTACATAATACCCTATAAATTTCCTTCACAAGACTAAGGTCAGAGAAGAATTTTTATATTTCATCTGTTAGTATTTTCATCTTTGAAAAATTTACCGTCTTGTATTCTTCGAACTTTTAATAAAAATTGTGCGCTTTCAGAAAAGCATTTTCCACAAAATCAACGGTATTTTTCAACGGAATTTTTTCAAAATACTACACTTTATTACAAAAATTAATACAGTCCCTGCATCAAGCAAATAATTGCATAACTCCTCTACCAACCAAAAGCGATTTGCACACAAAAAGTGTTGCAATTACTTGATAATTAGTTTATTCTTACGCAGTACAATGTAAATATGATTTGCATAGTAAAGAAATAAACGCAAAGAAAAGCTCCATAAATTGTGCACTCATGTCCATTAATTAAGGATAATGCAAAATCAGGCAAAAGAAGAGTTAGAAGCAAACCAAATTTGACTTATTTGTAAAGCTTATTTATTAAACAAAAGGGTAAAGAGCAAAAAAAGATGCTATATGTTTGATATTATTAAAAAAATTAGCGATTTTTTCTCCCTGGAGCAAATTACAAAAAAAAAAACTATTTACAAAAAACCAATACTACATGGTTGGTATTGATTGTTAATACATTGTATGTCTCCCAGACGATGCAATACATTCCGTTACGACGCCTAGGCATGCTGAGTATCAAATTATCGATCTGATCTTGGGGGATATTACACCACTCAAAAAGCAATGCTCTCCGAAGTTTCCGGTAGACATGTAGGAGGAGGTTGACGGGCTGCAACTCGTCGGCCAAGCAGCATGTCCCACACGTGCTCTACTGGATTCAAATCCGGTGAGAATGCTGGCCAGTCCATACGGGTGATATCATCCGACTGAAGGCATTCGCGCTTACGATGTTTGCACGGTGAGGACGGGGCGTTGTCATCTATAAACACAAATTGTGCGCCCATGGCGCCCCGAAAACAAACGTACATGTTGTTCCAGAATGACGTCCCGATAGATTTGGCTTGTCATGGTTCCAATTTGAACATGCAGGTCAGTTCTGGAACCCAGAATAATTCCACCCCAAACGAGCACTCCTGCACCACCGTAACGGTGTAGTTCAATAATGTTTTCTTGGTGGTAACGGGTATCTGGAGCTCTCCATATGAAAGTCCGGCGAGAATCAGACTGCAAGGTAAACCTGGACTCGTCGGAAAACATCACACAAGCCCACTGTTGTGGTGTCCACAATGCATGCTCTCTACTTCAGGCTAACCGTAGGCGACAATGAGTTGCAGCAAGTGGAAAGCATCTGACAGGTCTACGAGCATATAGACCAATCTGCCCTAAGCGTCTGTACACGGTCTGCCTTGAAATTATCGCACCAGTGACTGAAGAGAGCTGACGAGACAGGTCTGAGGCTGTGCTCCGCCTGTTTCTTTTGGCAGTAACTGCCAAATACCGGTCGTCATTCGCCGTTGTAACTCTGGGGCGACCTGTGCTGTAACGTCTACTCACATTACCTTCATCTTGGAATCGTTGCCAAAGCCTGGAGATGACACTCTAGGCAATTCCAAGTTCGTCTGATACTTCCAGTTGGGTACAGCCACATTCCAGACGGCCGATAATTCTACCACGTAAAAAATCATCCAAATGCGTCCTTTATGTCATAACTATTCGGTATTGCACAGAAATGCTTATAAAGTGCCTGCGAACAATTTTACTTCTGTGCCTGTATTCCTTATATATCACTCTCTTACACTCTCGTCATTGTGACATACCATCGGTGTCATCTGGTTACTTCCTGAAATTTGCATATGATTCTTGAAGATGTGTGTAGTGATTTTACAGGTAATATATTTATTTTAGAGTTCGATTTCCGCGTTACTCCGAATTATCCTTAATTTATGGATATGAGTGTAATTCTGAAATTAATTTAAATTATTCTGTCATAATAAAAACTACTTCGGCAGTTAAAACATAAATAATTCAAACATTAAGCAGAAGCTTTAAACTATTTAGATAAATTTATGTAGAATAACGAACCTCCAAAATTATGTACCTGACATAAATAAAATCTTAGCGACCGTAACAAATATGAAATTCAGGTCTAAAACACATATTAATAAATTTAGGTTATTAATGGAAAGCTCGCCCAATTATTGATTAAACCAATTTCGATAGAATTTTTTCTGATACCATATTTTGTAATATAAATTTGAAACTGTAGTAAGCATGGTCACAAAGGGCAAAATGCATAGTAGATATTAACATAAAGTACTAATTAAAATAAATTTACAGCTGAATGTCAAGAGGTGTAGATATATAGCAAGTAGTAGTGCAATTTTCTGAGCTCTGACAGCACAGGACCTGTCAATAGATTCGACCAGAAAGCCGAGGAGCAGAATTAGAACTGTAGCCATAAATTCTTAAAGTTTATTAATGTTAAAGTTAATTGATGAAAGCTTTGATTTTCTCAGGGGCCACCTATGATATAAACCTAATGAGTAAAATGCTGAGACGTTTGTCATATTTTCGCATTTTGTTATTTATTCGTAGTAAACTTAAGCAAAACCTTATGCATATTTTAGTTTAATTTTATTAATTTTTATGTTGCTACTCTCAATAAATTTTTCTGCATATTGAATCACATGTTATAAAACTTTCTGTTGCTTGTAAGTTCATGAAGAAATTTAGTAAAAAATTCAGAACTTTGCAATTGTTTTTCAGCTTAATTCATTATGATAGTATAATGTTAAATTAAATGCTAAAAATCAAATAGTAACTTAATTATAACTAAAATAATTTAAAACATTTCAAATATAATTATTTTTCTAATATTAAAGTTGAAATATCAAATAAAATTGTTTAAAGAAATCATGTAACATTTTATGCAGATAATATAAATACCATGAGGTATAATAGTTATTTTTGGTGCATTTTCATCGCTGCTTTCAGGCAAGCAATCTTCAATCGGAGAAATGCATACATCGTAGAGCCTACGAAGTTGTTTCACTCCGTCCTGTTCCCAGGAGGCATGTTCTACTACTCTTTCCTATAAATAAAGACCATAAAATACATACAAACTAAAAGGAAAGAAATATTATTTCTTTTAAAATTGGAATTTTACATATGCTAAGAGATTTACTCAATTGCTTTAATTTAATACTAAGAAACTTGTGAATAAATACAATATATAAATCGTACACTGCGGAAAAAAAAAGTGGGACAGTTCCTATATCTTCCGTTCTACAGGGCCGATTGAACTTTTTATATGTCTCGAAAGCGCGACTTAGGATATGTATTAGATTTATATATAGCATTGTTCTAATACAGGTATTTTGACACAAAATCGGACTTTTCTCAAATGCCATGCCAATGTTTTTTCATATTTCGATTCTACGACTCAAATTACGACAAACTGCCAAGTTTTGTAAATATCGCACGAGTAGTTTTTAATAAAATTAGCTCTCAAAATTTTAGCTCCTCAATGTTAATTAAATTTGATATATATTTATTAATATCTCTTTTTTTATTAAACTTACGTGATTTCTCCTTTCAAAATTCGAAATTTAGGCTTAACCTAAACATAATTCGCACATTTTTTTATTATTTGTTTTAAAAAAATTGTATTTTTAGATATTTTTTTATAAATTTTTCGAAAAATATTTTGAATTACAACCTATAAAATTTTTACCATCATCTTAAAGTAGACGTATACCTAAGTATACCTGCAAAAAAATTAGAGTTTTTATTCAAAATTTCCTAGGATTTACGTGAATTTACATAGTGGCGCGTTTTAAAATTTGGCATATTAGTTATACACGATAATAACGCCAAACGTGATTTACGCACTTTGTTAAAATGATTAAAAATAATGAACGATGACATTTTTTCCACTCGTTTACAATGAAAAAAATCTGATGTGTACACCATATGACTTCCTTGTAAGGAATATTAAATTATATGCAATTTTTTCTTGCATTTCATTTAAACTTATTGGATTGAATTAAATCTACTTCATCAATAGCGCATAAACCACAATAGAATAAATGAACTCTTTAAAATTCACGATATTTGTTTACCATAGCGTCACTCTGGCGGTTCACTCAACAGCGTTACATTTCATTCATATTATAACTCAGAATGCATATAAATTTATATCATTTGAAGAATTATGTAATCGTGGCCACATGTTCTATTACTATAATAAATCTAAAACGATGTATAAAAGAAATTAAGCAAACAGAACAAAAAACAAACAGTTTTTCGCAGACGAATCAGTATTCCTCATTCAATTAATTCAGTTCCCACTTCCCGACAAAGCAAAAATACGTAAAATCTCAAAATATCTATATTAAAAATTACGAAGTAAATCTTAAACACGCATTTCCTCGAATAAATTCAGAATTCATTAAATATGATTTAATTGGCAAGAATAAAAGAAGGCGTTATCTTTGTTGTTGCGAAGCTTAGTTTCTCTAGATTGGCAACAAATCCGCTATTTTGCCAAGTTTGAAATGTAGACAAACATGTCCGCCATTGCAAAAATAATTAGGCTTAGCTGCACTTAAACAACTTTTAAATTGTTGATAACTCCACAAATATTGCATACAGATTTACTAAAGGCATAAAAATTTTAACCGGAAGATAAGAACAACATAATTCAATCACTTTTAAAGCAAAAAATGCACAACTTACAAACATATAAGAGTAAAGAAACTGAGATCACCGAGCCGGTTAACAAAGTGGATATATATATACATATATTTATATGTGTTTGGTGCGGCCGATTGCAACCAAAATACGAGGTGCACATCTACATGTTATATCAGTCCTATATACAAAATTTCAACGTTCTGAGGCTACTCGTTTTTGAGTTATGCGAGATACGTATGTACAGATGCCCCGAAAAATTCTCTTCAGAATTCATTTTAAATCAGTTTTATAATTTTTTTGGGGGAAAAAGTCTTTTATTCTGTCCTTACATACAGATATCACGCAAAAACATCGTTAAATTGCATTCGATAGCGGTTCGTTGAAGTATGATGCCTGAAAATTTTCTCGATTACAATCCTTTCTTCTTACTTCGTACAAGGAAGTAAAAAGAAAAGGAAAATAGGTTGCTATAAATTAAGAAGCTCGCTAAGTGAATTATTCTTGGCGTAAACTGAAAAAAATGGGCCAAGGTAAATTTTTAAATTTCTCCATAAATTTCGCATCAAATTTTACAAAATTTAATATTTAGGCAGGATTTGGGTCGAGGAATCGAAATACGGAAAAAGATTGGCATGCCATTTCAGAAAAAATCCGATTTTGTGTAAAAATATTAATTAATCTTAGGAGATAATATAATCAATATTATTTAGTAAATAAATTATATTAGTTAATATGTGTTATAGTATATAAATCTAATTGAGTAATACCAACTACAACTCAACTCTATTTAAGTTTTATGTGTTAAAAGTAAGCTCTATCGTTGTTTGTAAGTACAACTGCTTCTAAATTTTGTAAATATCTGCAATTAATGTGTTTTTTCATATTAAATCCATAATTATTTTCGAATCCTTTAAAATACTGGCGTCCGTACGACAGGACTATGGATAATTTAAAACGAGAAAGAGCAGAATTACGGCGATATTTCACAACTTCTTTGAAAGAAGTGGAAACTGTTCTAAAAGATGAAGCGGTAAGTAAGATTGATTTGATATCTGTATTTAATATTTTTAATGATAAAGCTGACAGATTATTTCAGTTAGATGAAAAAGTTAAAAGTAGCTAGAAATGGAAAATTTTAATGAAGATGAATTTTCTAAGGATATAGATTTAACGGAAAGCTAACGAAATCAGTAGGTTGCTATAAAAACGAAAGTTGATTTAATGTTCTCAACCACTGAAAGAAAGGGCAATATTTCCAGTGTAGTAAATGAAACTAAGCGAAATTTCCGTCTTCCTAAGTTAGAATTGAAACGTTTTGATGGTAATATTAAAATCTGGCTAGGAATCTGGGGACAATTTTAAAAAATTCATGATGATGATAGCATTGATGCAGATGATAAATTTCAGTATCTTTTACAAGCAACTGTAGAAGGTTCAACGGCCAGAGATTTAGTTGCAAGTTTTATACCACTTGACGAAATCTATTATAATGCTATTGAACAACTGAAATCTCGTTTGCTGAAGGTGAACTATTAGTTCAAATTTATGTTCATGAACTTTTGAATCTTTTAAATCATGAACTATTCGCTTGCGTTAAGCAAGCGAAAAGTGGCAAAATTTTTATTTTGAGGATTCTTAATGATAAATTGGAGACTCAGCTACGAGCATTAGAGACTTTAGGGGTAACGTCTGAAACATATGAAGCAATGTTATATCCTTTAGTAGAAAAAGCTCTGCCAGAAGGTTCTTATCAAGGAGTAGGATATAACCGTGTAGAAAATAAAGAAAAGATGACACATATTAGGAAACTTAGAATTTCTTCGTTTGGAAGTCGAAAGTGAAGAGCGGTTGCAACTTGCTCGATCAGGGTTTGCGAATGATCAAGAATTTGAAAAATTTAAAGCGAAAGAAAACGTTCCCACTGCAGCTTGTATTGTATCCAATGAAAAGCAAAGAGCTGAGAAAAATGGCAAGCATTGTTTATTTTGTAACAAGTCGTTTCATAATACCTCAGAATGCTTTAAGGCTACTGAGATGTCACTGGAGGCGAAAAGGGAAGCATTGAAGAAAAGGGGGCTTGTTTCGTCTATTTGTAAACCGAAACACAATTCTAAGACCTGCAAAGCTTATTTAAAGTGAATTATATGCAAGAAAAAACACCATAGCATTATGTGACCAAATATAAATCAATCAAAACAAGACAAACAGTCTGAATCGGATGCACAGGTTCTTTTGCCACCAAAAAATTCGCCAACATTATTGTTAACTGTATTGGTGAAAATCATCAATGATGACAGGTCCGGAATCGTTCGCAGATTATTTGATACTGGTGCTCAGAGATCTTTCATACGAAAAGATATTGCACAGAAATTAGGACTGAAACCTGTAGATCAAGAAATGATGAGTCATGGACTTTTTGAGGGCAGTGAAACTAAACAAGAGTCCCACAATGTCTACTATATTACATTACAAAGCTTGTGTTCAAATTTCAAGTACAATATTTCAGTTTTGGATAAAAATAAGATATGTGGTGCAATTTCAGCATAGAGGATCCTGATATTTTTCCAATTTTGGAAAAAGAAAAATATACGTTTAAGTGATACAGGACAATATGTGTCTGAAATAGGTTTTTTAATAGGAGCAGATTATCTTGGCGCATTATTGAATGGGAGAATTGAGCCCATTGATAATAATTTAATAGCTATTAAAACAAAAATTGGATGAACGCTTCAAGGTAAACAAAGAAACTACTCAAAATCTTTTGAGAATATTGTATATGCTAATAATTTGGATTTGACGGAGTTATAGAGCCTAGATGTCATCGGTATAAGACGTCCTGCAGAAGTAAAGTCGAGGCAGGTAACCGATGAAGAAACAGTAGATTTTTTCCGTAAAACTATTAAAAGAAACGAAGACAGAAGATATGAAGTATGTCTGCCATGGAAAAGTGGACGTCCAGAACTAGAAACGAATAAAGAATTAGCCACTAAACGGTTAATGTCAACTACCAAAAATCACATTAGATCTGGACATTTAAGAGAATACGATGATGTGTTTAATGAGTGGGTTCTGGATGGAATTATTGAAATTATAGGTAAAGACGAGAAAAAGGGACACCATTTACCACATCATCCTGTGATAAAAACTGGTGTAACAGCAACAAAAAATCGTCTGGTTTTTGACACATCGACGAAAGATTCCAAAGGAAATTCCTTGAATAATTGTTTAGAAAAAGGGCCAAATTTATTAGAGTTGGTACTCAAATTGATAATGCAGTTTCGGAAAAACGCAACTGGCGTAACATCTGACATCACAAAAGCATTTTTACAAACCAGTTTAAATCCAGAGGATAGGGAATATTTTAAATCTCTGTGATGGAAGGAGTTATTAAGACGAGAAGAAATAATCACTCTTCACTGTAGAGTGATATTCGGTGCTTCTCCTAGTCCATTTTTACTAGAAGCAACTATAGCTTACCATCAAGTGAACGCTCAAGGAAGCAAACAGCTTTTCTACTCAAAGAATCTTTTTATCTGGACAGCTGTATTATAGAAGTTTTTAATATGACTTTGAAGATTCTTTTCTCGAAGAGATAGAGTAAATATAATCTACACTGACAACAGTACAAACTTCATTGGTTCAAGCAATGCTCTGAAAGATTTAGATTGGGAGAAGATCATGTTGTTTTCCACTACCAAGAAAATCAAATGGAATTTTAACCCTCCAACAGCTGCCTTGTGGGGAGGATGGTGAGAGCGCATGATTAGAATGTTGAAAGAGATGCTAAGAAGAATTTTGGTCAGAAATTGACTAGTTGAAAGAAAGAAATTGAAGAGTTGAAAACTATTCTATGTTACAACGAGGCTACAATAAACTTTAGGCCACTTACATATATTGAAGACAATTCGGAAGGTCTGAAGCCATTATCTCCCACTTGTTTCTTACAAAGTATTCCTAGCAGTAAAACAACTGATTTAGTCGAAATCGATAATAAAAGCCTAAATATAAGAATGCGTTTTGTACAAAATTTAAGGCAGGATTTAAGAATTAGATTTCGGAATGATTATTTAACAATGTTGATTCAAAAAGGTAAGAGCCAGGAAGAATCTTTAAGAGTTGGGAAGGTTATTCTCTTAGAAAAAGATGGCAACCGTATCAACTGGCCTTTAGGAATCGTCATTGATGTCTTTTCTGGAGCAGATGGGCACTCAAGAGTTGCCAGAGTGAGAGCAGTGATGGAGAGGAGTTGAGACCATTCCAAAGACTTTATCCGTTAGAAATCAACAGTTCGGAAAGGTTACTATTCATCGCCCAAGATACTCGAAGGGATGAAAGTGCCTCTACGAAGATGCCTCTACGCCCTGCAGCTAATGATTCAGATTCCAGTGAAGATGATGATTCATCCCCCAAAGTCCCAGATTTTGTCACTAGAGCTGGTCGACGGGTTAAAATTCCCAATAGACTTGATTTTTAACTTTCGTTGCAACTCATAGGTATCCTACAAATTGCAAGGTGGGAGGTTGTTTGAATTATACCAGCTACAACTCAAGTCTGTTTAAGTTTTATGTTTTAAAAATAAGCTCTAGCATTGTTTGTAAGTACAACTGCTTCTAAATTTCGTAAATATCTGCAATTAAAGTGTTTTTTCATATTAAATCCATAGTTATTTTCGAATCCTTTAAAACTATATATCCTAAGTATACATATCCTAAGTTTAAAACATATCCTAAGTCACGCTTTCGGCACATGTAAAACACAATTTGAATTTCGTCAGTTGGCCCAGTAGAACGGGAGATACAGAACTGTCCTCCCCCCCCCGCAGTTTACGTATTAATTCCTTGACGCTGAGATCTTATTAAAAATTTATCAGAACAAGGAAAGTATCAATGCTAAAAACTGCGAGATATTATAAAATTATATTTAGAATTCAGATCCGTAATGAAGCAATGTACTTAATTCAGATCCGTAATGAAGCAAATTGGTATAACAGAAAAATAACTGAAAACTTGGTATGAATATTAAGGCAAAAATAATCGTAAGGTTTTTATTCCAAATATACATAATTTGAAAGCTAGAAGCAAAATAAAATAATTGTGTAGAATCGTAAATAATGTAGAATATAAACATAAAACTTCAACTGAAATTAATTCTTTTTACATTAAACATTAATATTATCACTTACATATTATGTTCATGAAACTAAAATAACAAATTGATCATTTTGACTGAATTTTGAGAACTTCTTACTATAACTATTCCACACTGCCAATGAAAATAAACGGAAATTTTATCTGACTTATTAACAAAGCTTAGTTCCTTGTTTGTCTACGGCGGTGCTGCCATTAACCGAACTACGATTTCGTTCTTTTTTCTCCTTTCATGTGAAGACACTGTGTAATGAACATAATGCTGATATTTATGAATAATAATAGAAGTACTGCTGGAATGTCGTTCTTCAAATGGTTAACATTTTGTTACAACTGTGAAGCATTAACTATTATTGCAACTGTGAAGCATTAATTATTATTAGAAAGTACATTAATTCATACTGTTACACTGACAAAAATTATTATAAATTGAGTAATACATTAAATAAATCATATAGATGGAAAAATTCACAAACTTTTGGTATCCAAAATTTACTTAATTTTCCCTCTTACCCGACGAACACACAGTTGTGACGAATTTAAACTAAATATTTTTAAAAAGGGATTAGTTATAAGTATTTCTTGATATGAAAGCATTCATCACAAGGCATACGAATGACTTTGTTAAGATATAAATATGTTTATTTAGACTGTAAAAATTTCTTTAAAATACTTTAAAAAATCTTAAAAATTCACATTTTCTTAACTTGAACATTCTTTTAAAAGTACGACAGAATGAAAATGTATTTGAGCCAATTTTGTGTTTGGAAAATCACATTCATGAAAAGTCTCCACAAAATGGCTTTAAATTTTGAACATGCACCTAGCACCAGTGTTTAAATCTCCAACCACTGATTTCAGCAGTGCATCTAAATCTTCAAGTAATTCTTTAAAGCAATTTCATTTCGTGAATTCAAATCTATTTTAGAGTTTCGAGCAATTCTAAATGAAAATTGCAAATTTTCTTAAAGAATTCTTTCATACCTGTTATGGTTTTCGTCAGTAATAGTGTGAGCATAAAGGAGTTTGACTTAAGTGAAACGGAATCAGTTAATAGCATCTAAATATTTCATTTCATAAACAAAGCATTTAATAACCCTTAATACAAAAATTCACGAATTTTTTATCTCATATCTACTTTACATAAATGTTTTAAATCATACTGAATTTCGTTGTGCGCGTCTTCTTTAACAACTGATGGAATTATTCAACTTTTTTTTTTTTAACATTTATTTCAAAATAAAAAAAAATGCATTAAATAATATTGAGGCTTTTTTAACAGAAACTATTTCGGGTTGCATAGTTTTTAATTAGAAACCAACGCCCAACTAGATTTGAATTTGAACTACTGAATTTCACCTATTATCTGATTACTAAATGATTTTGACATTGAAGCGATAAAAACATTAAGTGCTTGTTAGTCGAATAAGTATTGAAGTCGCTGTACATTTAAGCTAATAAAAGCGTCTTCACTATGAAGCAACGAAATCTAAGTACTTATATTTCAATAAATAAAAAAAAACTAATGAAAGAAAAATACTTGAACATCCTTAGCAAGAACATTTCAAAATTGAAACGGTCGAAACATTAAGTGCTTGTTAGTCGAATAAATTTTGAAGTCACTGAACATTTAAGCTAACAAAAACGGCTTCAGTATGATATGAAGCAAAGAAAACTAAGTGCTTACATTTCAATAAATTTTTAAAAAGTAATAAGAGAAAAATACTTAAATATCCTTACCAAGAACATTTCTGCTCGAGTATTGTCATTTTCTTCCGTTTTGGAAAGGTCTCTGTCAACAGATTCGATCTGGGTGGTAACTGATAGATTTTCGCTTTGCTCACTTTCTGATAAAGAGAATGACCCTAAGAGCAATAACAATTCTTTCACCTCTGGGGTGTCTGGTATTTCTGAATCTACGTCTTCTTCATCTTTTACTTCATCAGAATTTATTTTAGCTGTTAGTTCTCCTATAGCTAGAATATAAGATGTTTCATCATAATCAAAAACCAAATTCGTATTTCGTTCCATAAAGCAACTGACAAAATGAATTAGTATATTAATTAATTAAAAATAATTTTTTAAAAAGTAATATTTTCGCGAAAGTTCCTGGCTTAATTTAATATGCAGTACTCACTCAAAGCTTTAAATGTGACAGAACAGTTCATTATTTTTAACAAGATTCGAAATTTTTAATTATTTTTATTAAACTGACCATTGTTGTTTCAAAAACATATTTATATAGAGAGATTAAAGATTTTTGAATTCTTTTAATTCTCCAGGATTTCTTGTTTATCGAAAACAATTTTGTAAGGACTAGATTGCTATAAGCCCATACTCTAGAAAATTGTATCGTCAATTTCATTTTAATATGATGATTTGCGAAACGTAAGTATTATTCTCAATGAATAAGTTTATATAATTAATCAAAAAAGTGCATAATAGCTTGTCGTATAAGCTCAGATCTTCTCCTCATTTCATGAAAGGTTCATTTTTAAAGGAAGATACAAAATGAGAATGGTGTACGTCAGTATAGTTTAAGAATAAAACTGTATACTAAATGCAAACATCACATGAGAAGTTCATGTAGTTGTTGCTGTTCAGGCCCCGGAATTCATCAATATCAAAGATTCAAGCCTGTAGTTAGCCAAACATTTGGGCTTTTAATGGGGAAGGTATAACTTTCTGCTCATTTTTATCTCAGTTTTAATGAAGAACATTTCAAGGGAAGCCACCAGCCTATGGAGTGTACTAAACAGGATTTAAAGCGCTCATGCTGCAAAAACACTACACATTTACAAACATTCATGCCATTTCGGGGATTCGAACAGAGACCTAAAGATAATAGCAGCCGGCTTCGCAAACTACCATATCAACTCCCAGATAAATTATGTATAATCATTTTCACATACGCTAGATTATTTATTAGTGAACTCACATATTTACTATGTATGCTTGGTTTGAGTTAATTTATCATTATTTATTCAGATCAAATGCTTGTAATTAGCTATTCCACCGAAAATCAAATATAATATGAAGCTGCGAGTTTTTAGCAATGATATCGTATTTAATATACCATACTTGGAATTACGCATATTGCAGAATATTATCCTTACCTTTAACAGAAGCCATTTTAAAACTTCGTGTCAAACTAGCAAAGTAACCGCTGTCCACAAGAGTATCTTCTTCCACACCTTCACTCAAGATTACTTTCCTAAAATGAACCCTCTCTCCATCTCCTGCCATCTGCTTGCACAATACCAACCAAATGTACAACCATTGTTGTACAGTATTTTTGTCATAATCTTTCAGAACAGAATACACCAAAAAATTTGTCTCCAAAGCATCAGCTGTCGCTTTATAATCATTGAGAATTTCATCCACAAGTTCTTCCCACCTGTAATATCATTGTTATATCAAAAGCACTGCTTAAATAAACTACGAAATTATTAATAAATTCCTAGTTACTAAAGGAAATCTAAAGGTAGTTTTTATAAAATTTACTTTGTGCTTTAAACGTAAAACATTTTGTGCTATATTACGTAGGCGAAATGTTTATGTCTTTAAGCACGTTTTCAAGTAACATATTTTTCTTTGTGGTTTCTGGTATTTTTACTTAGAATGGATGCAGTGGTTTAAATGAAACTTTTAGCCAAATCTATAAATTTCTAATTAAGTAGGTAAAAGTTGAGCAACGTATTTCTTTAACGTTTTGAAAATACACATTTCCTGAAAACAATAATTTGTGAAATATAAGTTCAGATTATTCGGAATGAAAATATAAAAAATAGTGAAATTATATATCATAAAATATAGATTATGAAAATTTTGGGTTTCTGCTATAGCAAATGAAGACTCCAAAGGGATTTTCGCATTATAAATTTCTTAATGGATTTTATTAAGGGTGCCGTTAATAGCAAAACAGGTATTCAGAAAATAATCAGTAATCTCCTGGTAATAAATTCCAGAGGGTTTTCTCAAACAATTAAACAGTCTTCTTGTATGTCTTCCTTTCCTAGATCCAAAAATTAATGCTTTTAAGTACCAGAAATTGCCTTTCATACTGCTTTATAACAGCTACAATATAAGTGTTTTATTGCTGTGCAGTGGCAGCATTGTCAGTGAACTTAACTTTGGTTATCAGTTGACGCATGAACGTAGAAGAAATTTGAGAAATATATTAAAAACATGCAAGTATATATAATAGATATTTTTAAAGATTTAACTTCTGTATGCTGAACACTTCATAACCAAACACTCAGTACTTAGTAACTGCATATATTTCTCAGTGTTGGTTGAATAGTCGAAATACAGTTTACACGTCGAATTTAGCAAATAATTCTTTAGCTATTGAAAAAGTTTGATTAGTTGTGCGATTACAAAAATTATACGATTACAGTGGATTACAAAAAGAAATATTTAAACGTATGGCATTGTTCACAGTACTTTATATTATATATAACACTTGCAGCAGTTGTCTGCCCCCTGAGCAATTTTACGCAGTTAATGCATTTTAATTAAGCATTTGTTGCAAATACTGTGTTTATAATTTTAGAGACATAAAGTTATGAACTGATTTTACGTGCAAGACTCTGTTGAAGGAAAAATGACAAAATGAATAGTTCAAGGATTTGTCATAATATACTTGTGCGTATACTAAAATTTCTGGTTTTCCAGGTAGTGATTAATTTAACATATTCGAATTTCCTGAAATAAATGTTCCAATAAAATTTAATATTTTCCTGTTAATGCTATGGCAAAGTATAGCTAATAGAAATTTGTTGGAATTACTAATCTTTACACTTTAGATAGATACTACATAAAAATTTGAATTTTTTCCTTTGTGTTATTATTATTGTTTATATATGTTTTGATAAATATTCAGTAATAGAAATTTAAAAACCATTTTATTTTATTTATTCATTTGTTTTTTTGTCAACAATTCTGTTCGATTACTATTATTATTTAAATTAATTATTTATTTATGTTTTGAATCTTTACTGTATCTCCTATCGTTTCCTCACCAGAATGCAAATCAGTTAGATCAGCGATTCTCAACCTTTTGCCTAATGTGTACCATGTAAACAAAAATTAAAAAAACTTCTTTACCACCACTATACTTTACAATGATTATTTTTAATCTCTCAAGAGAAATATTAAAAAATACGTACAGATATATTGCAATTTGCACAACCTATTACAGAGGATGTTCGAACATTTTTTAGACGATTTTGGTAAGTGGTAATAAAACATCGTTTGCTGCAAAAGAAGTAATTACAATTGTACTATGTTTTTAAAAGTCAAAATTATCGTCTGTGGCTTGAAAGTTTTGTTTTTATTCAAAATGGCGAATTTAACAAAGCAGTGGTTCGAAGACTACATTTACGCTCTTTCCGAAGAGAAATATGCATACTCCGTTATCCAAAAACGATGTGAGAGTCATGGTTTTGTAATATCTAAAGAGTCGATAGGTAATATCATCAACAAGAAAGGAAGAAAACATAATATTGGACACTCAAGTGGGGCAAAAATTCCAAACAAGTATCCAAAGAAAAAACGGACATCTTTGACTATTGCAAAGGTACGTTGTTTAACGTTAAAAGAAAATCCCCCTAGTCAAAGGAGTAAAGTCCACTGTAACACGTCCACTGTAACCCTAGTCAAAGTCCACTGTAAACAAAATGATAAACGTTGATTTAAATCTTAAGAAAGCGAAAAAACGCAATGTGCATCGTCTTCTTCCAAAGCATATCGCTCAACGCAGGACACGCTGCAGGATTCTATATAAGAAACATCCAAAGAAAAATGGAAAACAATTGTCACAATAGATGAAGCATGGTTGTATTTAAATGACTGTAACAAAAAAAAGAGCCATTTATTATCATAAAGGAGGAGAAAAAAATTTAAGTACATGGTTCAAAGAATCGAAAAAAAATTTTTTAAGGGATTCATGATTGTTGCTGGTTTTTCTTATAATGGCAAGTTAAAAATAAAGAGAGTGCAAAAAAAATGTCAAGATTAAGTCCAAATACTATCAGGAACATTATTTTATCGCCAATTTTTCTGAATGAAATACCATCGCTTTACCCACAGTGCCATTAATCTGCGAGAATCCATCAGGAAAAATCTAGCAGTCACACATTAAAATCCACTGTAAATTTCCTAAAAGAAATGGAACAAAAAACTGGTATCAAGGCCATATCCTTAACGGATATCCCTACTAAATCTCCCGATGTGTCACCTATGGATTTTTGTGCTTTCGGACTTTTACAAATTGCATTATCCAAACGTTGTCCCAAAACCCTAACAGGACTCTGGAAAGCTGTTCGGGAGGAATGGGATAAAATACCTCTTCTGCCACTTCAAAAGGCATTATTATCCTGGAAATTGTGGTGTCGAAAGATATTTCAGAATAAGGGATGTCAAATAGAACATTTAAAACACAAGATTTTTATGTAATTTAGTTTTGTGAATACAATATACATCGTCTAAAAAATGTGTGAACAGCCTCTGTAGCTATTTGAATTAAATAAGCACAAATATTAGATTAAAAATTGGTTATCATTCTAAAATTTAATGCGAAATTTGAGACTGTTTAACACAGATCAGTTTCTTTATGTCTGGTCTCTTATTTCACTTAGTTTTCCTACCAGCTCAGGTAAGTTTGTAATTATTTGGCTTTGCGTTATTATTGCCGATATTTGATATGCCTGTTAGAAGTTCTAAACAAACTTAGATTAAAATTTAACGGCGTAGTCTTTACCTACAAGCCCGAGTTTTACATTGGAATTTGACTGTTACTTTAGTTGCATCGCCAGGAGTTGTGGTTGAATTATTAGGCTCAAGAACGTGCATTTATATCCAAAGTTCCTATTTAAATAAAAAGGGTTATTTTAAACCTTTCAAAATCTCTGTGGTACTTTCAGGCATTCGCCTTACGTTTATTTGGGTTTTAGAATATTTAACTTTTACCAGATCAAGTAAAACCCTATAATGTCTGTAAAATTTAAGTTTTAAAATGTAATTTAAGTTTTAATGTAGCTTTATGTAAGTTTTAAAAACAAGTTTTCTATTCAGTCAGCCGTTTTCAGATCAAGCATTTGCATCGCAATTTGAGTTTGAGACCATTGGCTCACAGCAATCAAACTGTTTTAATTTGTATTCTTATTTTCTTGTTATTTCTGTTTAAGAGTTATTTATAAAAACATAAATAACTCTTAAATTAAAATGATATTACGAAACCGGTGGTTTTAATTGTCAACCATTAAGTGAATATACATTTTAATAAGCTTTAAATAATTTCTAAACGCTAAAAGTTGTATTTTATATTATAGATAGGAGTCTTAATTAAACTTTAAGTAGTTTTTAAAAAAATAAATATTGCTTTTACGAAATCAAAATTATAGTGAAAGAAGCTGTTGCTTTCCGTTACCTGGAAACAAAATCAGAGCTGTATATCCAAGAAGCACTTTTAACATCCATATTCTTAACAATTTTGTCCCTAATCAGATCTGTTAAAGCACGACTTCGAGCTAACTCTGAAAGTGCCAGAGCCTCTGAAAATTTATCCCGTCGACATAGAATTACCTGTACAGAAAAGAAACTTGTTGATTATGTATTCGAGAATTTGTTATCATTTGTTGCATTAATATTGTAATATTTATGGCAATTAAATACTGCCATAGTTATAAAAGCTGATAAACGTCAAGTTGAATTACATGGTATTGTAACCTTATTTCCCCAGGTTTATAAATATTATCCCAACCACGTCAACACAGTTTGCCGAATTTTACAAAAGAAAAAGAACAATTACTTTTATTGTAAAAAATTACACAGTGCAGGTATATCATATAAAGGCAACGAAATCAATACCATGTTTCCTCATTAAATTTTAGTTTTATCATACGTATATCAACAGTTTATGTATTAATATATAAATAATGTAGGTATTACTTTGAAATGCTCTTTAATTCCAAAATTTACACACATTCTTGCAGATAATAATAAAAAAATACTCTCAATTTTTAGTTTTACATAATATTTGAAATTTCGATTAAGGGGTGAAAGAAATTTGCAGACGCATATTGAGAAGCAAAAAAAATGAATAGGAAGAATTTATAGAAAGATAGATATTATCAAACTTGCTTTTAGCGAACTTTATAATCATTATAAATATTATTAGTAAAATAATTATAAAACACCTTTTTTTATGCCTCTCTGAACTTAGTTGAAATGTTTCGAACTAAATTTAAGCAATATTTTACATTTAAAAAAAGATATAACTACTGAATATAATTTTAAAAAATTTAAAAATAAAATTAATCTTACTTGTAAAAGACTGTATGTTTCGGCTTGATTCTTGTCAAAGTTTGCTATTTTAGAACTGTCTTCAGGGCCTAACTTGCTTCTAATGCTCTCAAGCGTCGTGATGGCTTCCCTGACTTGCTTTTCTGCAAGTTCTAAATCCTATTCGAAATAGAAAAGCAACAATGTAATAAAATATTATAATCAGTCTCTTAAGATATTTGTCACTTTTTAAAACACTAATGACCAACCGGTGCCAGCAGACCGCAAAAGTGGTTTTGGGAAGTCATTTTCCACAGCCTTGCCAAGATTAATGCGATTTATTGCACAGTGCCACCCTTACCCACCAAATAATAAGAAATATGAAAGTGAACTGTGGTAGAGGTAGAAGCGGAAGAGGCACTAGTCCGTCTCCAATTATTCACCAGGTAACACCTCAATCCATTGACCATCTTAAGTACCCAACGGCTGCTGTGAGGATCCGCGCATAATAATCAACCAGGTGCCTTGATATAGTATTGCTTGGCATATCGATCAAGTTAATTCATTCTTACTTATACAATAATACATAAAATGAGTCCTAAAACAATAATCTTAAATACAATCCTATTTGTGGTCCTAAATACTGTCCTAATATAAATATTTTTGAATAAATAATACTACCTTAGATGTAATTAATAATAAATAAAATCAAATACAGTCCTGAAACCATGTTTCCTTTAAAAACTATTGTATCAGTCAACGATTCTATTAGGAACAGCAGTTTAATGTTCTTTTACGTTACTCGACCCAAGTCCGTGCCTTCGCTTGCTAATTTGTTGATGATATTGTTGATTAAGGCTGGAGTTTTAATGATAAGTCTTTTAAACATCTTGACAGTATTTTGAGGATGTTTCAGATTAAATTCCTTGGTCATTGGGCATTGGAGTACATACATGTTGTGAAGTACAGTAATCTATACTATTCAAATCGGTGCGTGTCTGTCGGTTAATTTGTTTGTGGCACGATCTCCTCCGGAACGGCAGGGAGTTGAGTTTTTCGAAAACACTATTTCGACATTCTCATTTTCGTACCACTTCACTTCATACAGACGAGATATTAATTGAAAACTCTGAAAACACTAACTTTCGCACTAATTTTTCCGAATGGCAATAGTCTCGAGCACTGGAGATAAAAATGCTTTGTTTGGAAAAGTTTTGCCATTGCTCGCTTTCAAGTCGGAGACTCTGTTAATAAAAATTTGTAAGTTCTACAAAATATGAAATAAAAATAGCATTGCTGAGTTTCGGGAGAGGTAGCTCCGGATTCCAAAAACTCATAGGAAGCCATTTTGACCATTCTCATCTTCTTATGATTTTAATCAGCCGAAATATTAATTAAAAACTCTGAAACCGCTGTAACGGCAACAAAAAATTTATTTACGAATGACTTGTTGCGGGTTGCACGAGATATTTATTATCGATTGTTGCGGCTTGTTGCGAGGTATTACACTCTGAAAACATTAATTTGGGAACAAAAACTTTATTCACGAACTGGTTGTTTCCTTGAAAAGCCTGCTCATCTGGAGAGCTTGCTCGCTAGTAGTATATTAATTCTTGCTCAGCTAGCCTCTGTGCAATAAAATGATTATCACTTTGATGTATGTCGTTTTATGGGAGATGAACACTTATAATGCTTAATGCAGGAATCTAAACTGTTTTTCAGATAGAAAACTAAGAACTTCAAAATTTCAAATGTGACTGCAATTTTCTAAAATCTTCTTTAAAAAAGCATAAATTTCATGCATAAACAAATGGTTTTCAAATTTAAACAATGATTTTAATGATAATTTACAAAGTTAATATATTATTTTTATAATGAAGAGAGATTTTGTCAAGTTCTTCACAGATGCCTAAATATAAATTTCAAATTTTTCTATTAATCCAAAGTATATTCTTCTTTCATAAAATCATGTAACACATATATAATAAATATACTCTTAAGATAAATTTTTTATGCTGGTATTCTCATAAGCACAGCCGTATGATATGGAAAGCTGATCAAACTAAATGTAAGTAAGATATCGTTTTTAGATAAAAAATACTGGAAACTCCAAAATTGCCATACACCCAAGCATAAATTCAGCCAGCCACATTATTGCTCACAAGTAATTTTTTGGCATTAGGAAATTTAAAATTATTGAATCTCTTCTCTTTCCTACCACATTTTATCTTATTTCAAAACTAACTGAAAAGTTCAAAATATTCAGCTTACAAATAGTACGTATATTTACATATTTTAAATGCTCAAATTTCTGAGAAAATAATATAAATTCTTATTCATGTAATTAAAATTATTATTGACTTACCCCTTTGCAGAGGTAATCGATAGCTAGTTCTCTCTGCATGATGGCAACCCCTCCATCATCCCCTCGGCCAGATGCATTTGTCAAATATTTAGTATGGTTTAAAATAGCTGCTTCATAGTTCCCTGTGAATAAATTATTTATTTTAACCATAATGAATATTTTTTCGTTTAGAATGTAAAACTACTTTGATTAATTAGCAGTCGTCTCAAACAAAATCTTAGCTATTTCATTCTCAATCAGGAGTAACAATGACAAAATCTAAGAAAGAAATTTCAAAACAATTTTTTATTCCACATCTAGGGAAGAAACCGATAATAATGAATGCTTTCTAAAATCCGTCTATTACAAGCTATCCCAGTCGAGCCAACTTTTATGTAATAAAATGTTAGTCGATTTCTTAGAAGCACGTAGGAGATAGTCTAGAGAAGTAACTACAACATTTCAGTATAAGTATCCTTGCAAATAGTCACATAGGTGTAAAAAGATTAAATTTTCTGAGGAGCTATTATTCCTCCCATCATATATAATTTATTAGTAATGTGAAGCAAAGACTGAATTTTACCTATTAAGAATTTTGTTAATTCTCAGACCACAAGGGCAAACTGAAAATGTTTAGACCACTTCTTCTTTTCTTGTTCTTATTTCCTGATATTAAACATCGCAGCTTTGTATTGAGATTTCGGAATGTGATACATGAACGTATTTGAACCTTCAACTTTTAGTGTTTGGTCCTTTTTAGGTAGCATTAAATTAAACCAGAATTATGAAAGACAAACTGGTGAATTATCAGCATGTCTTCCAGGTACAACAGAGACAGGAAAAGGGTGTAAAGGACACTTTATTTGAATAAAGTTTAACAGTCGGCACCAACTCGTACTTACAGAAGATAATAGTTTTGGCTTAAATCAAAGATAATGGATGAACTAAAACTAATGATATTAATTACCTGTGCACGGAGCGAGGCACGTGATATTGGGTGTGTATTGCATGGTGCGCAGAATTCCAGTAAACAAATTAACATAACAAGAGTAGTATTTTTGGCTCAAAATATTAAATTTCTGGAAGTGATTAGTTAGTTGAAGTAGCTTTTTATGTAATAAATTATAGAAAATGAATTATCGTCACGCTTCAGGCGGCGAAAAAACAAAGCGTAAGAATAAAATGCTGGAAGAAAAACAAACAAAAATATGCTTTGTTTAAATATGTAGTTAATACAAAAACCGATAATATTAATACGAAAGTTCAGTCTGAAGAAACGTCCACTTCTGAATGAATATTTTGGAAAACATGAAGTACACTCAAATGACAGAAAGCAATAAGACCGAAATTGAAATAATAGAAATGAAAAAAAAAATAGAAGGTATACCAGATATTGTGGGGGAAAACCAAACTACAAGTGAGGAAGAAGAAATTCAAAATATACAATATATACTTAACACCGTTAATGATACTTGAGTTTCGGAAAATTTGGACATTTCTTTATGTTATTTAAATTTAGCAACAAACATGTAACATTATTTGCTTAAAAATAAACCACCATCAAATATTTCATATATACATACCGCTAAAAATGTAGTAACAGAAGGTGGAAAAACTGTAACTCGGTCATCAAAGAAAAATATTTTTTTCGCAATAAAGCAAATGGTGAAAACGCTGAATGAGAATGGTTAATGTGCAGTCCAAACGTAAAGCAATTTACTGCTACGTTTGCAAGATATTTTCGATTAAACGAACAACTTTTACAGAAGGATACTCGGACTGGAAAAATGCAAATGTATGTAAGAGTGCAAGAACACTAAAATTCTACTGATCAAATAGATATTCTATTAAAATTTTAATAGCAAGAAATTTAGTTGAGAGATGTATAGATACTGCCGTTGGGAAACAGTATTTAGGAGGAAAAAATATTGGAGAAAAGTACTGCAACGGGTAGTAGCAATAATAAAGTTTTGGGCTAAAAATTCTGTAGCATCTCATGGCAGTAATGAGCTCTTTTCTGCTTCCCATAGTGGAAATTACATAGAAGCTCTAGAATATTTTGAAGAATTTGAGTATTTAGCTTCGAATATTCGCATCAACTGGAAGAAGCAACGTGAATTATCTTTCGTCAACTATTTGTGATGAATTTATTGAAATATTTAAAAAAAAATATTAGAAACATTCGTGTCAGAAGGTAAAGCCACTAAACATTTCTCAATTATAATTTACTCTACCCCCGATATAACACACGTAAACCAGCTAATTTTTATATTGCGTTATGTATCAGAAGATGGAATCCCAATAAAGATATTTTTTTATTTTTACCAATTAATTCGGAGTCATTAGAAAATGAAGTTTTAAAGAACCTTAAAGTATTAGCTCTAAATAATTACAACTGTAGAGGACAAAGCTACGACAATGCAGGAAATATATCTGGAAAGTACACGGGGCTTCAAAACAGCATTAGAAAACAGCTTCAAACAGCATCAAACAGCTCATTACGTTCCTTGTGCTTCACGTTCGTTAAATCTGATAGAAGTAAGGCTAGTGAATCATGTTTTGCGAGGAATAACATATTTTAATTTTTAATGGAAAACGTTTATAAGTTTTTTTCAGCGTCTACTAATAGGTGGAACACTTTAGAATATCGTTTTGTAGCAAATAATAAAAATTTTACAGTAAAACCATTATGTACTACAAAGTGGTCTTGTAGAGCTGATATAGTTAACGCGATTCCCTATCGGTTCAACGAAATAAAAAATGCTCTACTTGATATATCTGTAGATTAATCTCAGAAACGTTCAGTAAAACTGGAATTCCGAGAAATATCAAACAAAATTAATAATTTAGAATTCATTTTATTAGCATTTTTAGAATTCATTTATCATTTTATTAATCATTATTATTTGGAATAAAATCTTTCCATAATAAATGCAAACAGTGCATCCTACAAAACTCTGCTATGCCAATCTCGGTTGTGGCAAGTATGTTTGACAATTTATTTAATTACGTTATAAGGTATTTCTCCCGCCTTCTTAGCATGCCTTCGTAGTATAGTGGTCAGTACGCTCAGCGCGTATTCGAGAGGTCTATGGTTCTATTCCTGATGAAGGCATTGCTCATTTTTCAAGTCTCCTGCATCCAAAAAATCCTAATGTCTCTACAGTGGTGGCCGAACTAAAAATGGTGGTGGATGATGATTCATCGCCATCAGGATTTGGCGATTGGGTCCCCTAATTCCCAGTCGTAATTTAAAAGGGGGCGTATATAAGGTATTTCTCCCGCCTTCTTAGGATGTCTTCGTAGTGTAGTGGTCAGCACGCTCGACGCGTATTCGAGAGGTCCGTGATTCGATTCCCAGCGAGGGCATGGGTCATTTTTCACGTCTCCAGCATCAAAATATCCTAATATCTCTACAATGTTAAGAGTTTAAGAAATTCATTTTCGGAAATAGGAGCGGAGCATTAAAGCGTCAGAAATAAGAACTTATTCCGATACTAATAAAAGATCGTGAAAATGGAAAAAATTTTTTGATGCAGTTTATCATGATGAAGACGAACAGAAGCTCATGTAATCACAGTCACGAAGCCTTTAAACGAAATTGCTTTTACGTAATTTATGACAAAATATCTTTTGAAATGAAACAACGTAGCAAAAGTTACAAAGATATTAATGAGATTTTTAAAATATTTCATGCAGACCTCAAATGACAATATATCATTTGAATCTGAAGATACCACATTACTAAAAAAATGGTTCAGTGAAGACATTGATACAAAAGGAATTGAATGAGGAACTGTTACAATTTCTCTTGCAATGTAAAAGCCAAAATTTAACGTTGCCATCGGACATGCTGCGATTTATAAAGACTACAAAAGTTGCTTCGGCATTTCCAAATATGAATATCATATTGCATATATTTTTAACTTTGTCTGCATCAAATGGATCTGGTGAAAGATGGTTTTCGGTGTTAAAATGCGAATGAAATTATTTACAAAACTCCTTAAGTCAAACAAAATTAAGTTCTTTATCTATACTATACATAGAACAACATTCGTTGGATAATATTAATTACGAAGAAATAATTGATAAATTTGCAGAATTGAAAGCCAGAAAAAAGGATTTTTGAATTAATTTCATAATCATTTTTTCAAAACTATAGTTTTGACATTTAGCAGAATAAATTTCGTTTTCTTAATTTATGACATACGAACAAAAAGTTCCAGTTCTATTGATTGTATTGATACATAATCAACCGCATATTTATAAACATACTAACAATGGAAACTGTATTAAAGGTTTTTGAAAATCTGACTACTTTTTAATTATTGTTATGTAACTATCATTTATTATTTTATTGGAAAGTTCTCGTAAAAATTACATAATACCATGGGTGCAGTGGCCCGGTAGGAAAAAATGTCTAGGACCCTAAAAATAGGTTAATTCGTCACTGTTCACAGTACAACTAACGTGCAAAATGGCTCAGACCGATATCGGCGTACAAAAGCCTAATGGCAAGAATAACTCAACTCAACAGAATACTAATGGCTAGAGAATGAAAGTTAGCAACGTGGCCTTCAAGCAGAGTATTTGGTCATAGGGAGTAAAAGTATATAGTACGTTTGTAGTTTGTTTGGGTAAGGAAGAAGTCTCTAATTATATGAACTGAACCCTTGCAATATAACTGTGAGCATATGGCAATGAAACATTTAGCCACGCTTTAGTATTTCAATGGTGATAGCAACACTTCAAGGCAGTAACACATGATAAAAATCAAGTTCCAGTAAGTCATTTACTATGGTTATCGATGTCAGTTTTGACACGCCTGAGACAAGAATGAACAGAGACTACTATGTGCTGAAAACTAATTGAATTCAGCCACATGCAAAAATTATCGCTTCTAATGAACAAGCAGTGAATTTGCTCTCGTGCTGCATTGTCGCTGTAGTATTATTTCCATTATAAGTATTCATATTTATAATGGAAAGGAATACATTGCACGTTCAGTAAATTGATAATGAGTAAAAGTAGTATCTGAATCATCTAAATGTAAATTATTTTCAACTTAAATGAAACTGATAGTTTATAACGGTGATCCTTAGCTCTCAAATAGATTCCTTATCTTTAAAAGATTAACTGGGGCTGTCTAAATCACTTCGGAAGTGATTGGACATTATTATAACTTGTAAGATATATCGTAGAGCAACTTCGTTATTGTAAGAAGATTGTGATTTCAGCTTCAAATAGTGCAATTAAATAATTTTAATTAAATCCAGTTCGATCACTACACCTCCTAATGGAAACTACTAACAGCCCAATCGCCGCTATGAGATTTCATTAGATATTATCCCTACTAAAAATGAAACTCGAAAAATTTCACTTTTTTTGTGAAATCTCCAATAGTTTAGAAAATAACTAGTACTGAAAATATCATGATAATAAGGGGGAAAGAAATTTAAAATTTTAGACTGGCTTTATCCAAAACTCGTGTTACAGCGACCGACAAATTAATTTTATAGCATGGCATCCGTATGCACATTTATCTTGGAATTATAGGCAGAAATTAATAAAGATGATGTACCTCTTTCAAAGATCCGTGATACAGCATTAAAAATCATTCACAGAAAACATATATTCTGGAGAGGAAGGTTTTTTAATTCAGCAGATATATATATTTCTTTAATATTAAACCCGCTTCCTCTCTTTTCAAGCGACAAGGTAATGAAATGTTAATCGAAATTACGTTTGTTCGCTCAAAAATAAATATAGGAAGCTATATATGTTACAAAATTTAGGAGAATGAAAGAAAAACTTCATTAACATTCAAGGTATCCATGTGAAAGTAATACATCAGATTTTTTTTAAGAATGCGAGCTAATGAATAAGGAAAACGATTTTCGCATTATTAAACCAGATAACTTACCAAGTGATCTGTAAGAAGTTCCGATGTTTCCGTAAGCCATACCTTCTCCAGCGATATTCAGCGTTTGTTGAGCTACTTTTACTGATTGAGTCATTACTTTTAAAGCCATTTCATGCTGCCCCATTGCTGAAAGAAACAAGAGTTCACTAATGTTACTAATATATTATTATAATTACATTTACAAGAATGGTATGCCAACTTAAACGTTCAATTTTATTCAAAGTGTATACATGAATCTCTTTTCTTTCTTTTCGTCAACAGTGAGGCAACTGATCCACATACCATATCGTCTAAAGCAACCCACTGTTATAACTGCCTATAACTAAATATCTAGACTGCACATGCCTGGAAATTAGTCTTTATTGAACACACACATATTCACGTATCAAAGGTAGAGACGATGACTGAACGAAATTGGGATAAATTACTAATAATTAATGGTTGAAAAAGATGGCAAATATACAGAAGAGCTAAAATAAAACAAAATATAAAAAACAATATCTAAAAGGAAAATAGTGTCTACATATAATAATGCAGTTACATAAATGCATAGTGGTACGATTGTGACATACTACTAATAATTAAAAGCAAGAAATATATAAGAAACAAAATATGAAACAAAAGAACTCGATGAATAAGGGAAAGTAGTGTTTACCTGGCAGATAATAAATATACAGCTAACACACTGTACTTATAAGGACACAAACAGATATTAATCAACCTTATGTATTACTCTAAACTCAGAAGAAGTAAATTTAGGAATATGTACATATAACATAATTATATTTCATAGCACAGAAATCTGAATGCAAAATTTCACTATTAAAAAATCTCACAGATTATGTACAGTAAAAATCATGATGCACATAAAATAGCAAATAAAGGTTCAAATGCATACAATATTAAAAAATAACCATCAAAGCGAATCACATTAAATAATACAAAACAAAATTATAGTAGGGGAATCTAGCACATATTACATAGTAAATATATTAATACTAATGAATTATATGTAAAATATGTAATAAAACATATTTTACAGTAATATATTCAAGAGACTGGGAAAATAGATGGTGTTGTTTGCAAGAAGTCACTTAATTCAGAATGTTTAAAATAGAATTGGCTATGCACATATATTCACATATGCGCTTCAGAACAACAATATTTCTAAATGTACATTCCCCCTAACCCTGGTCAATTTTCGACGATTCCTCAAACACACTTATCATTCCCACAAGAGCTGATATGCTGCATGGAGCTCATAAATGGACCTTGCTAAGTTAAATACAGTGCAAAGTACAAATATCCATTGATTAACAGTTTTCAAATTTTCAGAGGAATTTATGTACCTATCTTCCTGTTGTTTCAGTGTCTCAAAGATGCTGCCATTTCTTGACTAATTCTTTATTCAGTATAGCCTCTAGATACGAGCTTGGAAGGGCACATCTAATGTACTGGAGTGGAGCTAGGTAGCTTCTTTTTAGAGGCCATATCAGGTTTTCATTTCTAGAAACACGTGTGGGGTAGTCAACGATCACATCGTAGATAGAAAGGTGAAAAAACGGCCAGCGAGAAATTCCGAATTAAACTAGGCACGCCCCAGACACATTTTCCAAAAATGTGAAATGAATTATCAACTTTTGCAAGCAGAATGTCAGGAGAAGATAAATGGCAATACATATAATGTTATTATGTTGTATGTTAATCTTAATGACTTGAATATGCGGCATGCTGATATAATTCTCCGAGATATAACAAAACATCCTGCCTTGCAGCATTCCTCGCTCACGTGTTTCTCGTCACCCACAACATGTTATCGCTTCCGCACTAACTCTACTTGTCAAATTTAGCTCCTGTTGGCTTCTTTTCCCGAAAGTGAATGTGGTTTCCATTTTTACAACATTACAAAGATCCAGAGCGAATCGCGAAAGGTTATGGACTCATTTGTGCAAAATGACTTTGGAGCCGCATACGTACTGTGGCAGGAACTGCTAGGATTTGTGCGTTGCTCCGCTGTTTAGAAGAAAATGATACAAAAACTTATAATTAAACAATCCACGACATTTAAGAGTTCTTCTCGTTGAGGATGTTCCTGCAAACTCTGATAGAAAAAAATCACGTCGTAACTATTGAGAGCTAGAACAGGATGAAGGAGAGTGTATTCCAGATATTAAAAAAAGACTTTGTTTTCCTTAATTTTGAAAAACAAACGAAGCATTAAAAAACCACAGAATGGATTTATGGGATGGCTCAAATTATGACTTCCGTTAAAATGCTAACCAAATCTGTATGGCTCCCATTTTAGCCAAGCCACCTTATTGATGCAACGTCAAATTAAATCGCAAAACACAAAGAAGTTGATATTGAAAGAATTACAAGAAAGTTTTCTGACGGAATTTGTGAATACAGTAATTTATTTTTTTTTAATTGATCATGGTGTTATCAGCAAACAAAGTAGTAGCCCCCTCCCATGATTTCGCAGTAGTAGTTCTTCATACTTGTGTGCTCTCACAAAGAATTTCGGTCAAAATCTCTGAGGTAATTTTCGCCATTCAAGAGTCAATGCGCGTCAGTTAATACCAGAGATAAGAAGACAGAAAAAAAGGTTTCATCTCAGAAAGTAAACAATACTGAATTTCTTAATTTAAAGAGTAAATCAACTACCTTCTCAAATCATAATTTACTCAGTAAAAAAAATTATATCTTTCCTTTCCAGTTCAAGAGCCCAAATTCAAGAATCAAAAGAGCGTGCACTTACCACAGAATACTTTTCCCAAATTGTTGAGAGCCATTCCTCTTAAGGGCTCATTAGCTGTGCGTGAGGCAAGCTCATGTTTCAGAGATAATAATTTCAGGGCTCTTGCTAAGTCTGGTTTAGGAGTGATCGAGTAAAAGGCAAATCCCATATTGAAACAAGCAACTGTTAAGCCCCATAAGTCTCCTGAAAATAACACAAAAATGTACAGTTATTAATGTATAGAATGTCATTTTAGAACTCAGATAGCAATTAAAATCTAGATCAGAAAAGTAGTAAGTTCAATAAAAATGTGTATACATGTTTCTGAATGTTTTAGTAAATTACCGACTCTATTTTATAACACAATAACATCTATTGAAACGTTAAACAAATAGTAAATATTTATTGAAATTAAATAAATGGCAAATGTTTACATGTTTTAATAATCATATTACATTATCTCTGCATAATTCAAGAATTAAAACTATGAATTCTTTCGCGATATGAAAAATTTAATATTTTCAAATTATCATGAATCCTACAATAGTTCCCATAAGACGGTTGTGATAGTTTTCTTGTTTTATTTCATAAAAGTTTTGTTAGATGTTACAAATCATCACTTCACTAGTTAATTAAGCATCTTTTCTTTCCATGACTTCAGGTAAATTTTCCAAGAAATTATATTGTTTGCCGAGAATGTTTCTATAAATTCAGAAAATGAACTGTGAATTTATATACATTCAAAAATGAGGTCATTCATTGCAAACAAAGACAATAATTAACTTCAGTTTATTCGGTTGTTTCTTTCTCTTTCTTCTTGGATTCAACACTATACCAAAAATAAAACATATTCTGTTACATTAACATTTCTCTGCACAACGCTGCAAAAAACTCGTCAACACTTATTTCTGCCCCTTTGGGCCTTGTGGTAACTTTTCCATATCAGAAGCTAATTATCACGACTTATGTTGCCCTTTTTTCTATATATGCGTTATGATATAGTAATATATAGCGATAATATACGCTATAGCTGACCAAATGGAATTTCTTTCTGTTTCATTGTAAATATTTCTTTTTCTGTGCTACAGAAGAGTAATTTTTTTCATTATTCTTATAAATACAGATTTGATACTAACCTTCTTTAGAAATTATTATATTTCAATATTTCAAATAAAACCTGCTTATTTAATGTTCCCTGGAAATTTCTGGAAAATACTTTAATTTCCAGCTACAAAGGCTGGTGGAAATACCTATGAATCTAGTAAAAACGGAATCCTGATTTCCCAGAAAACAGACTCTAGTAGGGATGGTTGTGAGTTGATCACAGGATGATATAATTTATAACTGCTTGTGCAATAAATTTGATTTACATGCGATACTCGCAAAGAAAATCATTAATAACCTAAGTATGGAGACATAGTGTATGCAACAGGTATTATTTATTACCTCTATTAAAGGCATAACCCATGTGACTAGCTTGTTTTTTTAGAGCATCTGCAATCCTCCCTTCTGAACGATAAACATTTCCAAGATCCGTAACACGATCGTATTCTGATATTTTATCACCTTGATTCTGAGCAATAAGTATGGATTTGCGAAGATGATTCTTTGCCTGTCCCCATCGAGCAGCGGATCTGAAAGAAAGTAAGAATACTGGCAAATAAATTATAAAATACAAAAATGAAAATATAACTATAGCAAAATTAATACAATTAGAATATTAAAAATTGCAATATTTTAAGACGTTTAATACTTGTAAATAAATTTAAACGTACATATATATTAAAAGAGTTCTCAAAATCGAAAGACTTTAAAGTGGCTTCAACAGTTTTTAGTATTTCCCTTCTGTATATAATAAGATTTCAGATGCAATTTCATAAATTTTAAGACGAACAGACATCAGCACCATTCTTTATAATTACACTGGTGTGCGGAAAGATCTCCAGCCTGCCAGAAAATATACAGGTTAGAAAGTAGAATCTCGATATAATAACAGTCACCCAGTATTTAAACTACATGTCACAGCCAATGCAGAGTTCCGGACAACCATAAAGCACTGTTTTCAATAAGTGAAAAATCCATCAAATCCAAACACAGTCTTTTAACGAAGCATTAGGGGCGTTTTTTTCCGTTCTTTACAAATGTTCAGATGTCCGAAATTTATTACTTAGATTAAATTGGCTCTCTTCCACTATCACTTCTCAATCCCAATGCTGAGCTTTCTAGTCTTTCTTTCCCAGCACCCCCAACCCCAACTGCATTGGGAAATCACCTATGTGCTATCTCCTGGCCGCAGTGAAAGACGATATGGCGTCTAGTAGTGCGTTGTATGTATCTTGTGACTTTGCTCGCTATCTGCCATCGATTTCTCTTCGCCAATAGGACAAAATAGAGGTCCTCTATTGTCGTAGTTGCTCGTTGGTGACCAGTATTGATTTTGGAATAGATGCTCCTTCATTTGAAATACCGTTCAAGCTTGTGACATGACCCTGCGTGGAATCGCGAACACATCGACTAATAGCCATTCTTCGAGCCTCTGAGCTGGGTCTGCATGATATATTCCCTGAGTCTATACATGTTCATTGAATGGCAAGGCATTTAACTAGCTATGTTAAGCATCAGAAATTGTGAAAATGGGCATGCCTCGTTTAGTGCTAATAATTGTTTAATCATGTGAGAATTTCATAACTTATTTTTGCGAAGAACGAGAGCGCATGCACTTCTGTGAATCATGAAGGCTAATCCTGGTGCTGAATAGACTTGTTTTTCAGAAATATAGAGCTGTGGGAGATGTAGAGCTCAATTAAAATAAAATCTATATTCGTCAGTGCTTACGTTCAGTATCTATATTCGTCAGTATTCAGTATCTATATTCGTCACTTCAGTGCCTGCAGTTAGAAAGTGCTACATAAATTCCAAAATGCCTTATTTATTCTAATTTTTGAAAGGAATATATATTACCACTGCATCAATGATTTCTTACTAGTGACACAACGTTTTCACATGGCAGGGTGGGTATATTCCCACCCTGCCATGTGAAAACGTTGTGCCATACATGTCAAGAGCGAAAGAATTATGGTACTAACCTGCAAGCATTACCTAACTTTTGAAGAAGAAGTCCTTTGTTATAGTCCGTTAGGTTCTGTTGATGAAGAAGGGGATGAAAAACATCGTCTATGGCTTTGTTGAGCTGCCCTCTAGCTAATAAAATATCACCGTGAAAAATACGCAACAGATGTTTGTCATTTATGACATTTTCCTTTTCTGCAACTGTTGTAGCTTCATCCAAAAATTTCTACAAAAATTTCAAATGTGTACTTTATTACTGCTTGATATGTATAAAATTGTATTTGTTACAATTTGTAATATTAAAATTTCTGTAACTCTGTTGTGGTATTTAAAGGGTTATTCCTGTGTTTTAATAATCAAGAGTCTTTAATATAAGCAATAATATAACAGAGTTACAGTGTGTGAAGGATAATTGAAAGGGAATATAATGGAAACTTTTTAAAAATGAGAATATTATTTTCCAGGAGGGGGGAAAATTCTTTTTTTTTTTACATTAATCGCTAAGAAGTTACTACTTCAAAGACCTTTAAAAAAAGGATTTTTAGGACAATAACCTTATAAGGTATTTCTCCCGCTTTCATAGCATGCCTTCGTGGTGTAGTGGTTCTGCAAACTGGGTCGGTATTCCAGAGGTCCGTGGTTCGATTCCCGGCGAAGGCGGTTGCTAATTTTTCATCTTGCCTGCTTCTAAAAATTACCTAATGTCTCTACAGTGGCGCCCGAACTAAAAGGGTATTGGAAGATTAATTCTCCTCACCAAGGCTTTGGCGAGTGTGTCCCTTAAAAACCTCAGTCGCCCTTTAAAAAGGGGAGTGTATAAGGTATTTCTCCCGCTTTCATAGCGTGCGTTCGTGGTGTAGTGGTTCTGCACACTGGGCCGGTATTCCAGAGGTCCGTGGTTCGATTTCCGGAGAAGGCGATTGCTAATTTTTCATCTTGCCTACTTCTAAAAATTACCTAATGTCTCTACAACCTAAAATGAAGATAAGTAAAAATTATTTTTGATTTAAATTAAAAATATACTAAAACATATTGTTGATATAAATTTGTTGATTTAAATTAAAGGACTGAAACAATCTGTGATTCACCAAGATAGATAACTAAAGTAGTTTGTCTGTTAATATTTAAACAAAAATACCGTTATTTAATTTCTTTGTAAATGAAATCATACACGCACGTATATGTATACAGACTGGTCATAAAAAAACTTCTCCTATTTAAGAACTCTTAGCGACCTATCTACTCAACCAATTGAAATGAAATTTCAGATATTTGTATTTAAAGGTATGCGCTCAAAATTGTGATGATTTAAAACAATACGAGCTCCGCAGTTACGATTACTGGGGAAAAGTTTCGGAATTTTCGAATGGAAACACCCACTCTTTTCTTGTGCAAATTTATCAAAGCATTGAAAAGCAATACACGACGTTGGGACGATAAACGTATGATGAAAATTGCCGGCCGTAAAATATTTGCAAAGAACAGCATTATAACGTATCAGTGACAATACAAGAGAGGGAAAACATTTTTATTGGAATTATAAGTTTTTAAAGTGTACCCGTAACGTTACAGTTTCATGGCCATCGCGAACACCCGACCTCACTCCAATGAATTTCTGGTGTGGTGATTACCTGAAATTTAAGGCTTACACATCAGATCCACAAATATTTATCAGAACTAAAAGATGGTATAAAACATGAAGTTAGATTCCTCCTACGATGTTACGTTCTTCCTTGTTGTCCGCAATCTCCCTCATGCAATGTGTTATCGTCGCGAAGGTGAACACTTGAAAACTTGTAACTTTTTTTCTTCCTCCTCATCTCTTCTGTTCCTTTGCAATGCTCTTCTTCGCAAATGTTTTATGCCAGCAATTTTCTTCTTTCTTCCAACGTCATTCATGGTTTATAAAAAAAAATGGATGATGTTATTCGAAAATTTCGAAATGCTCCCACAATAACCGTAACCGTGAGAGCTCTATTGTGTAAAATCACAGCAGCATTTCTCTAACACAGCAGTCGCCAACCGGTGGTCCGGGAAAACGTTTCGATGGTCCGCAAAAATATTGGGACATTATTTATATTTTTATGAAGATTCAGTTCAAAAACGACGAGAAACAAAACCTATTATGGAATATGGATTATACTTTTTCTTTAACTTTAGTTACTACTTTTAGCGAAATTCCTTTTGAATTTAGCGAATTTTTAGCTACTTTTGCAGGTGTATCTAGCGACATTTAAAAGTGAGAGTTGGCATCCATGGATATGCTGCTGTTACCAATAATAGAGCGAACTGAAATTCTCTTTCCTTTAGAATTACCTATGCTATTGTAATCGTTAATAACACAGTTTTTCTCCAGGTTCTCAAAAAAAATTCCTTGCCATGTCAAAAGGCAAGGAATTTTTTTTAGAACCATCTGCATTCTTGTTAATAATTGCATCACAGCAAGTTTCCGTTTTTGTTTTGTCTAACTGTTGATCGATGGCGCCATTGCTGAGTAAGCGGTGATTATTATTTTTACAATAATCAAAAATTGGCGGTAAACAATAATATAACACTTTCAGTTTATCGATATTGCTTTGCGTTTGCCGGTTTGTTTTTGCTTTTTGTGAAGTTCCTTTTCAGTGATATGGAAATTGAAGCTTTCTGTACAAGAAGGTAACATTTTTGCACTTTTCATATAATTTTTCAATGTGAACGAAATATGTGTATCTGTGAGATGTTAATACTGCTTTAATTGTGACTCATAGTCAGGGTTGTAGCCTGAATTTCCATAAAGGCATGCTGCTGAACACCCAAATGTTTCAAAAATTATATTAGCAAAAGAAAATTACAATTACACGTAAAGTTGAATATTGTTTTGAGTATAAATATGTTGTTTTTTAACTCTGATTTAAGAGTTATTACTATTATTATTGTTATTATTATTAGTGGTCCGCCAAATACAAAATTATATATGTAGTGGTCCGTCAAATTCTAAAGGTTGACGACCGCTGCTCAAGCACATACCTTCAAATAACAATATCTGAAGTTTCATATCAATTGGTTGAGCAGATAGACCGTAGGAATTCATATATCTGAGAAGTTATTTTATGACCACCCTGTATATTATATGTATATATTACATAGGGGTTAAAAAATAGGGAAACTCAATTTAAAGAGTGTTAAAATATAAAGTGCAAACTTACGTGTGAAGAATTTTGCTAATTATTTAAAAATGGATACGTTCCTTTATATTAAAAGATTACTTATATGAAATATTTTAATTAAAGAAAATTACTAATTTTGGTTTTAATGAATGTCATTTTAGTTGATTACATTAAGACAAATGAACGACGAATAATTTATTTAATAAAGCAAAAAGAGATAATTTTACAAATTTTGAATTCTAATTCTTTTCATTCTTGGAAAAAATATCAACTTTCTAAAAAAAATTTTGAATAGATAGAAAGAGAAAATTAAATTATAATAAAATAAAAAAGAAAGCAAACGAAGGTATAGATAATCTTTTTCAAAGACATTCAAAGACAAAATTTCATGCCTGAAAAGCCTTTTCAAAAGAAACATTTTCGTATGTTGAAGAAGTAAACAAATTATTTTTATTATTAATTTTTCCCACGAAATTATTTTTTCCCACAATTTAACACTGGTTTTCTCCTTCAACCCTGTAGTTTACGAAAAGAACAAACAATAACTTCTTTTAATTAATTTTTAATCGTTTATCGGTGATATGCAGGGTACGTTTTGGTTATGCATTTTAAACTGAAACGTGTAACTATATGATTTCTTGAACACCAAACTTCATGTAAATAATTATCATCCTGTTGATATTGCATTAAAACGTTCCAGCGTATACCGATTATGAGAAAAGACTTTCAACTATGTACAAAGAGTGAAACTCCTAGTTTCAGTTTCAGGTTAATTTCTCAGACATCAGAAATGTCTCAAACATCAGAACAAACCATCCAGCCGTTAAAGCATGGACAAATTTATATTTCCTATTTATGTTACAATATGAATTGCAAATAAATTTAATACCAGTCATTAAGTTAACTGTAATTATGTTAATAAGTTAATAAAATAAAGTAAAGCAATTCTTCCTGTGTTTCCGTTTTCTGTGGAAATGTCTTAAAAACGTGGCTATCGGTGATATTCTGTACCATCTTTCAAGTAAATACTAGTCACTTTTAGAAGTGTATACCTCTTAAAAAAAAAAAAAAAAAAAAAAAAAAAAAAAAAAAAAAAAAAAAAACCTTGAGAGGTTTATTGTAATTTATCAATCACGTAATCATGAAACGATGAAACTATATATTCATACAACTATTTGTTCTGACTTACAATTTGGTTTTATGTATTTTTGTATTATATGTGTTTGTTATCATATTATTTATTAACTTAATTAGTATTTTTTTGTATAGAAATTTCATGTTTATTTATTGTGCGTTTTATTTACTTTAGAACTGGTGGTCACTGATTGGGTTTATACATGTTTACTTCAAATAAAGTAAATATGTATTTATAAATAATAAAATTAATAGTTTTATATTATTTATTTTTAAAAAGTTTATTTATAAATAATAAAATAATTTTTACTTTTTTATAATGCAAGAAACATAAAAAATGTATATGCATCGGGAACTAAAATTAAAAATTATCCCCAATAGAAATTAGTCTCTGAAACTGATGTAAAACAAGAGAAAGCATAAACATGGAACACAATATTTCTGAAGAATTTATTTTTAAAGTTAGTTCACAGTATAACTAAGAAATAGTTTTGAGCTCTTAGAAGTTAATTTGTCTGAATGGAATTCTTCTCAAAGTTTAATGTGTCTGTTTATAATGTGGAAAGCATGTAGAGTCCAAGTGGGTTAACTTCTATCTATATACTGGAGTAGCAGGAAATTACACAGGAGAAGGGTTCACGTACCCTTTATTAGCTCTTTAAAATTTACAGTGCCATAACTCGACGCTAACAAACTTCGCCTCTACTTGGGCGGTAACTGAAAGTCAGATAGTTGAAATTAAAAGTTGAAATGTTTAACAAGTGGGAAAACTAGCCTACAGGGCTCAGCGAGATCCCGATCTTGTACCCTCTTCTAAGCTAGTGGCAGCAAAGCAATGCAATTGAGCCACTTGAATCAGCAATGAGCAAACGTACCTACGGCAGATTTGGCAGCTAGAGCCTAACACTTTTTTTCTCCTACCGAAACTCGGCTTTTAACTGCTTCCTTCAAAATAGAAAATTTGCATTCGTTCACGCGCGCTACAACATTTAACTATTCTGACACTGACAATTAGGGGAATGAAGGCTTATAGGAAAGTTTCAAATAAAACTTTAAATATATATGTATCTCTATGTAGATTTTTTAACTTTGAGACGATTGACGTTTGAACTGTAAGTACAGCTCAACTCAGATCAAAAATACTGACAATCGAACTCTGCTATTAAGCTTCAGTGAGATTCTTTACCACCACGTTGTATATATTTGGCGATTTCTTCCGCACTCGGGGACATTCTGAAACCTTCCAGAAAATCTATTTTCGAATTTCTAGGATTTAATTTTTTCAGAACTTCCAGAAATTCTCAGAGACTAGCCCTAGGCGGCTGTTAGACAATTAGTTCAAAATTATTATTATTATTATTTCTCTATAACGATTATTTCTCTATAGGGCATACTGCTTCATTTATTATTGCTTTGGACTATGCTATGAGGAAGAATTGGGTGACCTGAGACATTCTTCGCGGAGAATTTCTCCTTACTTCTGTTCTTCTGCTTTCTCTATTTTTAGCTGTTTATCTTGCTATAGCAAGATTAAAATTAAGATTAGATTTATTAAAAATAAAATTTCTTAATTGTCCATTAAATTGTCCACCAAATTGCTTATTTTTTCTTCCAAATATCGAAATATAACATCCTGTTTCTTTTTATTACTTCCAACTACTTATATTACAATTTCAAATATATGTGTGAAGTGGCTAAGAACTGTTTAAAATGTGAAAGAGTTTTAATGCAATAGTTTAGAGTTTTTAACGTAATGTAAGAGAGCTTTAAAATTATACGAAATTCAACTTCCGAATGGCATAGATTCTTGAAGCAAAGCGATGGAACTTGGCAAAATAACAAAATAATTTTCCTTCTTGAAGAGCAAATATTCTCATTAGATTCTGTTAAAATGCTTACCGCATTTCTTTAAAATAAATATTAGTTTTAAATATCTAAAATGTTTCTTACTTTGTTACAGTAAATCTAAAAAAGATGAACATTCCATAACTTAGTCACCATTGACAACGCATTTTTATTTTCATTTTATTTAACTTACAAGTCAACTGCAACTTATCAGAAGTTAAACTGTAACTAACCTGAGCTTCTTCAATTTTCCCTTGATACCTGCATAGAAGTAGTAAGTCCACACAAGCTTTTATGTAGGCTTTGTAAGCGGATTTTCTCGGTATTTTAGGATCCATATAATTTCGGATGGCATTCAAGTACAAGTCTTTGGCAATCTCATGAGCTTTCTCAGCCAACTCTCTCGCCTTGGTAAAAGATTCTAATGACATAGCTACACTGTGCCGGTATGATAGCAGTAGTAAGTACTATAATGCAAAATCATAAAATTTATTTATAAATAATAAAATTAATAGTTTTATATTATTTTATTTTAAAAAGTTTATTTATAAATAATAAAATAATTTTTACTTTTTTATAATGCAAGAAACATAAAAAATGTATATGCATCGGGAACTAAAATTAAAAATTATCCCCAATAGAAATTAGTCTCTGAAACTGATGTAAAACAAGAGAAAGCATAAACATGGAACACAATATTTCTGAAGAATTTATTTTTAAAGTTAGTTCACAGTATAACTAAGAAATAGTTTTGAGCTCTTAGAAGTTAATTTGTCTGAATGGAATTCTTCTCAAAGTTTAATGTGTCTGTTTATAATGTGGAAAGCATGTAGAGTCCAAGTGGGTTAACTTCTATCTATATACTGGAGTAGCAGGAAATTACACAGGAGAAGGGCTTCACGTACCCTTTATTAGCTCTTTAAAATTTACAGTGCCATCAACTCGACGCTAACAAACTTCGCCTCTAACTTGGGCGGTAACTGAAAGTCAGATAGTTGAAATTAAAAGTTTGAAATGTTTAACAAGTGGGATAAACTAGCCTACAGGGCTCAGCGAGATCCCGATCTTGTACCCCCCCTCTTCTAAGCTAGTGGCAGCAAAGCAATGCAATTGAGCCACTTGAATCAGCAATGAGCAAACGTACCTACGGCAGATTTGGCAGCTAGAGCTTAACACTTTTTTTCTCCTACCGAAACTCTGCTTTTAACTGCTTCCTTCAAAATAGAAAATTTGCATTCGTTCACGCGCGCTACAACATTTAACTATTCTGACACTGACAATTAGGGGAATGAAGGCTTATAGGAAAGTTTCAAATAAAACTTTAAATTATTAGTTAAAATAAATATTAATCCCTACAAGCATAATTAATTAAATTATGTACATTAAGGACCGTTATAGAGTTATACATTATATTACATATATTATTGAATTATATAACTAATTAAATTATATACATTATGGAAACTACTGAAGGTTTTATGAATTATGAACTTATCAATAATTTTACAAATGATTAACTCATTAATTTTATAAATGAATTTCTTCCAAAGTAAATGTCATCTTCTAAAAATTCATCATTAAACGTGTGAGTGTTTTATAAAACAAATAAAAACGTTTACCTAGCTTTTATTTTTCATGCCTTTAAAATAACAGATTAAAATTACCAATCACATGAAAAAAAATTACTTTTCTGCTAGGTAATATTTAATTAAAATTGTAAAGTAAAAAATTATTAGGAGTACTCATAGAAAACTGATATAATTTAGAACAAACTACATCAAAACTTTCGATAATGTCAAAGCAGTGCAGGCAATTAAATTACAGGAAAACAACTTACAGGCAACTGTGACCAACATAACTGATGAAGAAATAGTTATAATATTGAAAAAATTTTTATTTCAGGAATTTGATAAACACAGTAGAGCATTTAAATGAATAAACGTGTTTATTAGAGATTTACTTTATTCCCTTTTTATCATAATTTTACTCATCAGAACCATTTTTCATTTGTAGCACAACGTAAGTTACTTTCTAAATAACTGCTGTAACGTGCAGCAGTAGTTAATACATTACAAGAGGCTGAATTATGCTATTTCTTGACAAAACAAGTGAATTTAAATAGGTAGGGATTATTGATAGATGAAATCAACAAGTATGGGCTTTTAATACTATCTGTGACACCGAGTGACCTTGTTATCTGCTCTGAACTTGATATAGATTCACAACAAAAAAACCACAGTACTCAGGTGTAACGACAACCTTTTAAAAGCTTTATCCTTGGCCGGATTTTGTGACCATCATCTTTATTAATATTTAAACCTTTATTAATATTTAACCTTAGTTCAAAACTACACCAACCTATGTTCATCCTTTGAGTAGCACTTTCTGTGTCCAGCTGTATAGCTAGTGGAATCACGCCTATTAGAATTTAAAAGATGATGTTGATGCTGTTTTATAGCATCTTTTCATTGTTAGGAAAGCAGTTCTTTGAAGAGCGTTTACTTTTCTCTAATTTTAACTGTGGAAGATCTCCACCACGCTGCCCTATTATAAACAACTATTCTTAATATTTTTCTTTTTTATAATTCTTTAATAACCATTTTAGGAACTCCTGTCATTCGAATAAGTTTATTGGCAATCTTGCAATTTCATCAGTTCAGTTAAACTCACAACAGGAGAGCTATAAACAACTCATGATTGTAAAACGTCGGTTTTTGAATTCCATATGTGCCACAGTAAAATTTCTCGTAGTATAGTTACTCATTCAATTCAAGTTTTTAACTATTGCGGTCACTCTAGGTACTGAGTCAATATGATACATGAGTTTATAATGGATAAGAAATCCTGAGGGTTTCCTGTTTACACAAAATGATTCTTGAATAAATAACAAATCATACTTTTGTAGTTCTATTTTTAGCTGTTCTGTAGCAGCTTGAGAACATGCTAAATTTATTTAGATAGCTCTTTTTGGATTCCTAATGGAATTATTATCCATAATTAATTCACTTCCTTAGTTCATTTATTTCCCTATGTCTCAAAGGCCAGATTTTTGAAAAGCTGGAATGAATAGAATTAAATTTCGAGCATTATTGGAATTTAGTTCAACACAGTTTATGCAATTTTGGTTTTGTTTCTCACAATTCTTAAAGTTATGACCATTTCTCCACATCGGCCACAAGCCTCTTCCGTCTGACAGTTTCTCGAAGTCCATATTGGCAGCATTTAAAGCACTGTAAAGGTCTTGCATATTCCTTTGGCTTTCCTGATTTTCATGAACATTTGAGTGCTTCTGTTGCAGTTTAATATCCAATGATGGGTTCCCTTTTGTTTGATTGGGAATTTTTATGTTCATAGAATTTTCTTCTATTACTTCATTTTGTGCCACTAAGGCCTCTTTCAGTTCTTCACTTATTACTTCTTTGGAAAAGTTATATATTAAACTTTTTGGTAATCATTTCTGGGGATGTTTAATTTGAACCCCATCCTTTAATTCTGCAGCTTACTTAATCTAAGACTCCAAAGTTTCAAGGTCTTTTTCTTTGTTTCTAAGAGAAGGTCTCCTTTTGAGACCTGTTTAATTCCGATTTTAAACTTCGTTGGGTTAACGCTTTTCAAGAGTTTCTTTTTACTATTTTCATGGTTTTCCCCTTCTCGTGTGGGATACAGAATAGAAATATGTTGTTTTTCAGTCTTTTAACGTTTGACTGTATCTGCATAAGTCTCTTTGTCTTGTTAATTAATAACAGACAGATTAAATATGAAGGAGCACGTTTTTTCTAAATGGCAGTAGACTCGAATGAAAAATGAAAAATGAAAAAATGCATTAAAATGAAAAAACGCAAAATCGGTTTCAAACCTGATAGCCATTTTGGTCTATTAATGACAGAAACTAAAATATTTTTCTTCAAATATTTTAAAAACATAATTTATTCTTAATTTTCTGAATTAAATGGCATACTTTAATCCATCGACACTAAACAGTTTCTTTGACTGCCTAAAGATAGATAACACATCCCTAAATTAATATTATGATATGAACAAATTACTTATAATAGAACTGCAAACCAAATTAAGTTTATTAATATTTCAAAAACGAGATAAAACTTAACTAGTAGTTTAACTTCTTAAATAATACATGTAAAGACAAGTTAATAATATGTAATTCAACTCTTACAGTGACTTTCAATCTTTGCGGGAAAAAACTAAAAAAAATTTTTTTTTTCGTTTTTGGTATCGGTGGTGTGCGTTTGAGTGTGAGCGTGTGTAAAGTTGGGAATAAAAAAAATTCATTACATTATAAGCGATGTACCATTATATATAAAACTGAGAATGTTTCATAAATGTAATTATTAATTTACTAATCAGTGTAATATTATGTTAATTTAATGGTAAGATTTATCTGCTGTGCAATTATTTCTGAATAACAAGATACGAATAAAAAAATACGATCTCTAGTCATGCAGTAAATTATTCACCGACAGCTTCCAGCGATGCTGGCTGCCGGATTCGAACCCGGGAAATTTTTTGGACGTTTGTAAGTCTATCGTGCCTTAACAGCCCTTTAAATGCCTCTATAGAGGCATTTAAAATGCATGACGTGACGAATTTCTCTTCGAGTGGTTTGGTCGTAGGGAAACAGGGATTGGAGATGCTTGGATCCATTCCTGCGGGGATTCTGCTTCAAAGGCGGAATGGAACTGGGCAAATATAAGATGCCCTAGACCCATGTGAATGACAGAAGCAGTCTCGCTCTTATAGAAACGATAGAATGCGTGGATTTGCTTTGATGTTATTTTCAGACAAGAGAGATAAGTTACAGCAACAACGTATAATATTAAGAATTATCTGTAAAGCTTAACCGCATTAAAAGAAAAGAGCTCGTAAAAATTCTCTTTAATTGGGTTCCTTCTCAGTATAGATAATACATATTCTTAGAGATGCATACGTGAAAACTACTATGCAGAAGACAAAACACGATTTTTTTCTACAAGAAAAAAAAGAGTATTGTAAAATTCTGATTTTCTGAAAACTACAATTTTGCATCCTAGTGGTTTTGCCACGGTAGTAAAGTTAAATAAGCATTTTTGTTTCGTCCAAGCGAACTATTTAATAAAATATGAAAATATGAAACGTTTACTGTTCTTAAAACATATATAAAGCCAAAAATAAATATTAATTTTTATTACTGCCAGTGCATTTTAATAGGGGGACCGAAACGTAATGTCGCTTTTTTACATTAAATTCAAACGAATAAATTTGTAACAAGTTTTTATTTTTAATCAATAATATAATCACTCGTTATCAGCAACCTTTTGCCATATAGTATGCAGGTTTCAATCCCAGACCGGTGGTTTGATCAATGGGGTTTTGAGTAAAATATCTCGAGATGAAATTTTGGCCATTATCCAAATTTTCAACTTTTTGTCACTAAGAAAATGTTGTAGGGATCGGAATAAATGGAAATCCGAGGGTGCGATGTCGGGCGAATATGATATCGGGCGTGAGGCAGTACCTCCCACCCCAATTCACTATATTTTTTTAGTGTTCATCTTGCACAGTGCGGTTTTGCATTGTCGTGTTGCAGAATGACGCCTTTTTCCGTTGACAATCGCCAGATATTTTTCGATTAAAGATTGGTTCACTAGATAAAATTGTTCACAATAAAGGTTTACATTAACAGTTTTCCCAGGTTTCAGCAATTCAAAATGAACAATTCCGCGAATACTCCATCAAACTCCCAGAAGCGACTTTTCGGGATGTAAACCCTTTGTAACTCCTATTAAAACTGCCTTTTGAGTTTTCGATTATCATATAGGATTTATTCTTTTGTCTCCATTAATCAAACGATTAAAAAACGGTTCTGTATGGTGCCATTGACGTTGCATGTTCTGTTATGGTGCCAATACGTTGCATGTGATGGATAGGTTGGCTTTTTTTGTTCTTTTCGGACAGATTATGTGGGGGACTCAACACACTTGCTTTGCTTATTTTTCCATTCTGCTTTAAATGTTCTTGGATGGATCGACCAAGGTTGGTTAAGAGTGTTTGACATCGATTTGCTTCTACTTCTGCCTTTAGCATGTTGTTGTCGACATGCGCAGAAGCGACATTACTTTCCGGTCCCCCTATTACATTTCATATTTTTGATATGAAAAGTTCTTTCTGACTTTATCATTATAGCCAGATTGTATTAAAATTTAAATGTCAATTTTTATTATTAAAGCAACTCATTTAAAATTTGTTCAAAATAAACTGTTTGTATTAATTGCTAGCTAATACAGAACAAATTAACAAACGCGTCCATGAATGAAAAACTGATAGCTAGAGTATAAAATAACTTCGATTTCAAACTCACTTCTTCATTGACTTTTATTATAATACAGTAAAACATTATATACCTCTAAAGGATTTCTATTCTTATTTTCCAAAAGATGATCTAGAAGAAGAGAACTTGCCGGAATATTCGTTTCTAATAAGTTTCTTAAATGCTTTCCCTTCGCCTCTACATCTGAAACGAAAAAATCAGAATTAAATATTATAACCATCTTAATTATTAGTATGTATTATTAATTTTAATTTAATTAATTCGTCATTCAAATTATGGAATTTCGCATATCTTAAAAAAAGATACGGAATTCAAAGACTCAAATTTTCGTTTATATATATATATATTACATATATATATATATATATATTATTAATCATTATAAGGGCACAGCCCCTATCCTCCTAGATGGCACAAGCCGGCCGTCTGATCAAAAACTGGAACTGACCAGAATATATATATATATTGTAGAGATGTTAGGTTATTTTGAGACAGGAGAAATGAGCAATGCCCTCGCCGGGACTCGAACATGGACCTCTTGAACACGTACCGAGAGTGCTACCGTTACATAACGAAGGCATGCAGAAAGGAGGGGGAAAATACCTTAAAATGTATATATATATCTATATATAATTTTTATCTTACACACACACATATATATATATATATATATACGAGGGCTATCCAGAAAGTAGATTACGTTTTGGAATAAAAAAATAAAACAAAGTATAGGAAACAAATTTTATTATATACAGATGAAGCCACACTCAATACTACTTTTCTACATAGTCACCATACAAATTAAGGCATTTATCGTAGCGATGTACGAGCTTGGAAATTCCTTCGTCGAAAAATTCGGCCGCCTGCGCCTTCAACCACTTCGTTACCTCTTCTTGCAGCTGCGCGTCGTCATCAAAACGCTGCATAGCCAGCCACTTCTTCATTGGGGAATAGGTGGAAGTCGCTCGGTGCCAGGTCGGGGACTGTACGGCGGATGAGGAAACAACTCCCACTTAAAAGATTCAAGAACTTTACGTGACATTTGCCGTGTGGGGCCGGGCGTTGTCGTGAATCAACAAGATCTTAGAGCTCAACATTCCTCTGCGCTTGTTTTGAATTGCTCTTCTGAGTTTTTGGAGAGTTTGGCAATACCTTTGAGAGTTTATGTAGTGCCTCTTTACAGGAAGTCCACCAAAATTACACCTTTTCTGTCCCAAAAAACAGTCGCCATCATCTTCCTTGCCGACATGTTTGCATGCATTTCTTGGGTTTTGGGGAGAACTTGTGTGCCCCCACTGCATTTGATTGCAATTTCGTTTCACAGTTCACATGTTTCACCCATGTTTCGTCACCAGTAACGATGCGATCGAGTAAAGAGTCACCATCCTTATGGTAAGCGTCCAAAAAAGTTCAACGCTGCAGCCATTCGCTATTTTTGTGGCTTCTGTCAAGATTTTTGGAATCCATCTTGCACAAAACTTGTGGTAACCAAGCTTTTCGCTGATGATTTCGTGCAACAAACTTCGCGAAATTTGTGGAAAACTCAAAGAAAGTTCCGTTATTGTGAAATTTCGATTTTCACGGACTTTAGCATCGACTTTTTCGAGAAGTTCGGCGGTCACTATGCTGGGTCTCCCACTTCGATCTTCGTCGTGAACATTGGTTCGGCCATTTTGAAATCTTATGACCCACTGACGCACTCCACCTTCAGTGATAATGTTGTCCTTATACACTTCACGAAGCTGCCGATAGATTTCTATCGGTTTACAGTTTTTTGCAGTCAGAAACCTTATTACTGAGCGCACCTCGCAGCTCGCGGGATTTTCAATTAACGCAGACATTTCAAACCGTCACAGTATCTGAACGGAGCACAGCACGAACCTCTCACTAGCACGGCTAGATGCAGACTGAGCTGCGCAACGCTCTGACCCCAAGATGGCCGCGCTAGCCCCGCCCCTAGCGGACACAGACGGAAACGTAATCTACTTCCTGGATGGCCCTCGTATATATACATATATACATATATGGTGATTATAAAATATAATACATATATATAATGGTGATAATAAAATAGTTTCTCTCTATGAAGGCATCTACAACTAAAAACAATGAACGGAATGAAACCAAATTTCACATACAGACTATTGAAGGCATGGAGAGATGAGTTTTATAAAAATTAAAATAATAATACCAAAAGTCGCTGATAGGAGAGATTTTGTCTCTCTCGGAATTGAAAACAACTCGAAAATAGGATACAATGAATGCGAGGAAAATGTATTATGCAAAATTTCTGTATTTCAATACAAAAAAGTGCACATGCAGAAATGAATGACATAATGTCTGGAACTCACAGAAAATAATCTTTCATTAATGAGCATTAGAGTCCCCTGAATTACGTGCAACATTTTCGATTTGCTGACCTTCGCCGTGTGCAAGTTATTACAAATTTAAAACACCCCTACAGTAACAAGTCACATAAGGTGATGTCCGTGGAACGAGACGGCCATTTCATCAGAAAATATAGGTTGATAAGTCTCTCATTACCGAAATGCTGGAGTAAAAGGTTCTGTATTGAGCGACAAATATGTGGCCGTGTTTTATCTTGCATAAAATTTGTCGAATCCAGACATTGTCTTTGCTGCATTTCAAGAAAGAAAAAAGTTTTCAGCATTTTCTGATTTTTCTCACTACTAACGATTCTAGTAACAGGGCCTTTAGGAGTGATATTCTCAAACCCGTATAGTCATGTTATGAAATCGGCTGTGAATCCACATCACGCGTTTACTTTTGAAGAATGTAGTGGTACTTGATTGATCACCACGGGCCGTTCAGATGCCCCATAGTGGTAATTGTGAGTATTAACGGAACCAATCAGATAAACCTGAGTGCCCCAAACATATAAAATTTTCTCCATGCAATATTTTCCAAGGCCAGTAATTGTCGATTTCCATTCAGGCAAGATATGTTAGCTGTAAACTCAGATGTTTATTGTAATCTGTCATTCTTAGCTTTCGTGCTATCGAGTTTATTCAGATAGAAATGTAGTATTTTCTGCAAGATTTTCCTGACAGCAGCATAGGCACAGCGGTTCAGCGAAAGCTTGGACGATTGCTGCTATTGCAGAAACGCCTAGACCATAGCTACTCTCTGTGAAGTCGAACACTGCAGTGGCATTTTCTGTTTCTGCATCGTAAGATACTGCTTTTCGTATTCAGCCGTCTTTAACTCAAAACTATCCAGTTTCTTCGAATGGTTTAATCATATATCTCAGTGCTACAGCAGTCATTGTACCTTTAGGCTCATTATGAAGTCTTCTCAATTCTCTAAATGTAGCTGCAGCGCTGAACTCTGTAGTGTTCCGCCTAGATGGTGTAATGGTTGGGGGAGCCTACTGCGGTACCAAAGGTCCGGATTCTAATCTCGAAGAAGGCATGGATGTTTGTAAATGTATGGAGTATTTGAGGAATTGGGCACTTTAAATATATGTCGAGCCGAAAGTTCTCTCCACCCCTGGACTCGTTCAACGGGGTGCTCTCCATCAAACCTGGAGTCGGAACTGAAGTCGTACTGTCACCTGTATGGTACTCAAGGCTCTTGCCAATGACAGGCGCAATCTTGCTGTCTTTGCCACAATGAATTTCATGGGTTTGTTCTAATGTTATTATCAGACAAGTGAGATAAATCTCCACACAACACTCTCTAGTGTGAAATAACTTTACGAGTACATCATGCTCGGATAAGGTACAGCGAATAATAGCAAAAATCAACAACCAGCCGTAGAACTGCAGACTCAACATTCTCTCCTCTTTAAAAGGAATGAGTTGCTCTGCCGTCACGTATGCACTTAAAATTTTGACTAAGCTACCTGAATTGTACACAATAACACGCCGAACAAATACTAATTCAGAAGTCAAACAACAAAAATCAGCGTTATACACACAAAAATTTTTCACAGGACTAGATTCGATGGTTTTACCGAACCATCATCTTCAGCTGCAAAACCGCAAATGAACAAGATAGGAAATAATGATTAGATAAGATAAGAAAGCCTGGACAAGAATAAACAAATGGCGCCATCTGTTGGCGAAACCAGAACTAAAACATAATTTCTCTAAAAGCCGAAGGCAAATTTGGATTGGAATTAGGATCGTTAACTAGAACAGAAAGATTTTTATGAATGTGAAATGCCTCTAGAAAATCCAGTTCTCCAATGGAAGATGTTTTTTGAATAATTTTGGCAGCAACAAAAATTGAAAGTGTGATTTTCGGACAACAATGTTGAGCGACAGAAAACTTCTGTGTTTCCTTTTTTCTAACATATGCCTCATGTTCTTTGACGCGAAAAATTTTAAGGCTCTCTTAGTTGGCCAATGTAAATTAAACCACACTGGCAAGGAATCCTATAATACCCAGGAATTCATATCCGGAATGGGGTCCTTGAGTATAGAAGTTGGAATTTTATTGATGGGAGAATAAACACACGAAAGTTAAATTTCTGCAAAATATGTGCAACTTTATAGCTAATTGATGGAAAGAAGGGAATGACAACAGAATTTTTATAATCTCCTAAAATAAGAGTGTGGCTTTTAGTGTGTTGAGATGAGAATTTTTTAACTGCGTGATTAATAATGTTGGGTAAAAAGCCTCTGTCAATAGCTATTGCTTTTAAATAATTTAGTTCTTCATCAAGGGCTAGTTTGGAGGAGCAAACTTGAAGAGCACGGAAAACATAGGAATAAAATGAAGCTAACTTTTGTTTAGTCGGATGACATGATTTAAAGTGTGGTGGAAGGCAAACCGATGAAGGTTTACGGTAAACTGTAGTACTGAAGTTGGATGTGGAGTTGGATGTGGAATCAAAATTGTTTGAAACTTTAAACTTCCCGACATGGTTCCGCTACGTAGACGATACTTTTACCCTGTTTGAAGGTAATAAAGATGATTTAAATAAAGTTCTTTCAACAATGAATTCTATTGATCCTGCTATTCAGTTCACTTTTGAACTTGAGACTTGCAATTCTCTTCAGTTTCTCGACATTCTGGTCACACGTAAAACATCCAACTTCAGTACTACAGTTTACCGTAAACCTTCATCGGTTTGCCTTCCACCACACTTTAAATCATGTCATCCGACTAAAACAAAAGTTAGCTTCATTTTATTCCTATGTTTTCCGTGCTCTTCA